GTGCAGGGCAGTGATTGGTCTTATGCCGGGCAGTGATTGGTCTTATGCCGGGCAGTGATTGGTCTTATGCAGGGCAGCGATTGGCTGCGTGGAGGGCAGTGATTGGACACGTCGAGACCAGTGATTGGTGGTGTGGATTTGCCTCCAGAGGGCGAAGCTCTTCTCATGCAAGCATTGTTCAAAGAAGGATGGAGGGAACGTGGAGGATGGCGAGAGAAGGAGCCCGAAACAGAGACACCGGGAAGGGAATGAAGAGAGGGGGAGAGAGCAAAGCCTCTACATTCTGTACTTACGCATTGGTCAGGCTGGGCAGACTCATGAGTATGCTGGGGAACGAACCCGAGAAGTACATGTACTGCATGGCTCTGGCAGAGGGGAACAATGAAAGAGAAAGGGGGCGACACTTAAGAGAGGGAAATGGTTGAGAGTTGGCATGGCTCCGGCACAAGTAGAGAGAGACGAGGAAGCAGAAGGAAGGCACAACATGAGAGGGAGCGATGAGGCACACGCGTTAACACTCGCAAGCCAGTCGGGGTCCTACTCCTCATGCAACATAGTTGGGTTCGTACCGTACTCCCATGGCCCTCAATCCCAATAGCTGCTTCCTACATGGCTTTCCAATAGCAAGCACCCACCTGGCTTTCAAAATGGCACTCACAGGGTGTTCAAAGTTTGTCAGCGTAGAGAAATCCTTGAGGTAGTCTGCGAGGCTTCCATCAATGAAGTTCCACGGCATCACCCTGCGCGCGGACCAGGGAAACGCTAAGGGTCAGGCTGGACTCACATAGTGCCGAGAATCATCATCAATGCACGGCCCCAAACAAGCATCCACGCACGCAGGCATGCACGCACGCATGCACGCACCATGCACGCACGCATGCACGCACGCACGAGCGCATGCAGGCACGGCTCATTTGACTCCTACCAGACCTGAAGCGCACTCACACCATGGGCAGCGCACTCACACACCATGGGCAGGGGCACTCACACAAGGCCCAGCGTTGTGAGCTTGGAGATGTCTGAAGGGAAGCTCTTGCGCACAAGACCTGCGGAGTCCAGGTTTCTGCCAGTGGCCAAAGCCACACCAAGGGAAGCAACACACGGGTGAGGCAAAGCGTGCGGCGCACAACGTAGCGTACATGGAGGTCAGCCAAGGAGAGGCGGATTGCAGGCGCAGCTCACGCGCCACGCCTTCACCGCTGCACTCACATGGAGTAGAGGCGGCCGTCGGATGTGCAGCTGACACGGTCCCACTCGTTAGCGCCAGCAGCATTGCCCTCGAGGCGGCAAGGAACCGTGGTGGCCCAGTTGGTGAAGGTGAGCCCCATGGCCGTCTTGATGTTGAGCAGAGCCGCCGCTGATGGGGGAAGTGGCGAAAAACAGGGGAGGGAGGGCGAGGAGAGGGAGATAGCGATGTGCCACAGGCACGCAGAGAGCGGGACAGCGGAACGTCAAACGGATGGGTCTGAGACTTACCGTCGCCGGCATTCATGTAGAGCGCAGAGCAGTAGAGCGCCACCTGAGCGCCCCGAGTTCTTGACCTGCCCAGAGATGCGTGCGTCTGCGTCCGGTATGCACGCCCTGCCACCGCACAGCGTGCCGGCGCCGTCCGTGCTGCCGCAGATGGCGCAGTCGGTGGCGGCGCGCTGAGTGCCGGCGCAGCTGCCAGTGCTGGCGAAGCAGTTGCTGCCGCTGTTGCAGAAGGACCAGGTGCCCGTGGGGATGCTGCCCACCAGGTAGTTGGAGTACAGGTCCAGACTCTTGAACTTTGTGATGGCCGTGGGGGACCGTGCCCGTCAGGTAGTTGAAGCGGAACGTGCTGCAGGGGTGGGGTGCACCGAAGATAGCGTTTGGCAAGGTGAACCTTCTGGGCCCTTGGAGGGCAGTGATTGGCCGCCTCAACCTTTGCTTCCGGAAGACACCTTGGGTCGAGAGGATATGACAAAAAGCCATGCTGGTACGACCCATGGGCCTCTATTCTGTACTTACACGCTAGTAAGGCTGGGCAGGTTCATGAGCACGCTTGGAAAAGACCCCGAGAAGTACATGTACTGCATGGCCCTGGCAGAGAGGGAAACGGAAATGCGAGGCAAGCACACCTGAGAGAGTGAAATAGGAGGAGGAGGGATTACACATACAGGCTCTCCCTGCGGCCACACTACTAACATGGCCTTCGAACCCAATACTTGATACCCACATGCATTTTGATTTGAAAACCCAATAGTCAATAATACCCTCATGCCAATCGAGTGGAGCTAAATAGCTCATAGCCATGGCACTTTCAAGTTGGCACTCACAGGGTCTTCAAGTTGGTGAGCGCCGAGAAATCCTTGAGGTAGGTCTCAAGGTTGCCATCAATGAAGTTCCACGGCATCCACCTGCACACCGCAAAGGAAACGCTGAGGGTCAGGCTGGCACGGTCAGACCTCAGCCACACGGTCACACTTCAGCCGCACCGCCACACTTATGCTGCACGGCCGTGTGACGATCGCCGGCGACAGGTGCACAACAGACTTGAACACTCATGCCTGCACAGCTCATGCAACTCCTCCCAGCCTTGTAGCGTGGAATTGATAAAGAATTTTTGGACCACAAACACCACCAGCACAATCGCAACACGGCCAGCACAATCGCAACATGGCCAGCCGCAATCACACCATGGCCAGCACACTCACACCCATGGCCAGCACACTCACACCATGGCCAGCACACTCACACCATGGCCAGCACACTCACACCATGGCCAGCACACTCACACCATGGCCAGCACACTCACACCATGCCCAGCACACTCACACCATGCCCAGCACACTCACACCATGCCCAGCACACTTACACCATGGCCCAGCCCGGTGAGGTTGGAGATGCCGGACGGGAAGCTCTTGCGCACGAGGTTCATGGAGTCCAGGTTGCTGCCCATGCGCACCGCACAGATTTGGAAACGAGATGAGTGAAACAAATCCAAAGTTGCTACAATTGGAGCAAACAACCTCACCACAACGATTCCACCGGGCTTTCCGCTCAATTGGGTTCACAGCACGAGTGAACGGGTGAACGGATGCACGGGTGCACTCACATCATGAAGAGGCGGCGGTCAGCGGTGCAGCTGACGCGGTCCCACTCGCCAGCACTGGCACTGGCGCCCTCCAGGCGGCAGGGATTGGTGGTGGCCCAGTTGGTGAAGGTGAGCCCCATGGCCGTCTTGATGTTGAGCAGAACCGCCGCTGATGGGGGAAGTGGCGAAAACAGGGGATGGAGGGCGAGGAGAGGGAGGTAGCGATGGGCCACAGGCACGCAGAGAGCGGGACAGGGAATCGTCAAACGGATGGGTTTAAGCCTTACCGTCACCGGCATCCATGTAGAGTGTATAGCAGTTGAGCGCCACTTGAGCGCCGAAGTTCTTGACCTTGCTGGCAATAGCCGTGTCGGCGTCTGGCACGCACGGCTTGGTGCCACCGCACAGCGTGCCAGTGCCATCCGTGCTGCCGCATATGGCGCACGCGGTGACGGCGCGCTGGCTGCCGGCGCAGCTGCCAGTGCTGGCGAAGCAGTTGCTGCCGCTGTTGCAGAAGGACCAGGTGCCCGTGGGGATGCTTCCCACCAGGTAGTTGGAGTACAGGTCCAGACTCTTCAACTTTGTGATGGCTGTGGGGACCGTGCCCGTCAGGTAGTTGAAGCGGAGCGCCCTGCAATGGGGTGGGGAGCAGACACAAGCGATAGGTGTTCAATGTTCGGGCAGTGATTGGTAGCGTGCAGGGCAGTGATTGGTCTTATGCAGGGCAGCGATTGGCAGTGTCGAGGGCAGTGGTTGGTGGCGTGCAGGGCAGTGATTGGTCTTATGCCGGGCAGTGATTGGTCTTATGCCGGGCAGTGACTGGTCTTATGCAGGGCAGCGATTGGCTGCGTGGAGGGCAGTGATTGGACACGTCGAGACCAGTGATTGGTGGTGTGGATTTGCCTCCAGAGGGCGAAGCTCTTCTCATGCAAGCATTGTTCAAAGAAGGATGGAGGGAACGTGGAGGATGGCGAGAGAAGGAGCCCGAAACAGAGACACCGGGAAGGGAATGAAGAGAGGGGGAGAGAGCAAAGCCTCTACATTCTGTACTTACGCATTGGTAAGGCTGGGCAGACTCATGAGTATGCTGGGGAACGAACCCGAGAAGTACATGTACTGCATGGCTCTGGCAGAGGGGAACAATGAAAGAGAAAGGGGGCGACACTTAAGAGAGGGAAATGGTTGAGAGTTGGCATGGCTCCGGCACAAGTAGAGAGAGACGAGGAAGCAGAAGGAAGGCACAACATGAGAGGGAGCGATGAGGCACACGCATTAACACTCGCAAGCCAGTCGGGGTCCTACTCCTCACACAACATAGTTGGGTTCGTACCGTACTCCCATGGCCCTCAATCCCAATAGCTGCTTCCTTCATGGCTTTCCAATAGCAAGCACCCACGTGGCTTTCAAAATGGCACTCACAGGGTGTTCAAGTTTGTCAGCGTAGAGAAATCCTTGAGGTAGTCTGCGAGGCTTCCATCAATGAAGTTCCACGGCATCACCCTGCGCACGGACCAGGGAAACGCTAAGGGTCAGGCTGGACTCACATAGTGCGAGAATCATCACCAATGCACGGCCCCAAACAAGCATCCACGCACGCAGGCATGCACGCACGCATGCACGCACGCACGAGCGCATGCAGGCACGGCTCATTTGACTCCTGCCAGACCTGAAGCGCACTCACACCATGGGCAGCGCACTCACACACCATGGGCAGGGGCACTCACACAAGGCCCAGCGTTGTGAGCTTGGAGATGTCTGAAGGGAAGCTCTTGCGCACAAGACCTGCGGAGTCCAGGTTTCTGCCAGTGGCCAAAGCCACACCAAGGGAAGCAACACACGGGTGAGGCAAAGCGTGCGGCGCACAACGTAGCGTACATGGAGGTCAGCCAAGGAGAGGCGGATTGCAGGCGCAGCTCACGCGCCACGCCTTCACCGCTGCACTCACATGGAGTAGAGGCGGCCGTCGGATGTGCAGCTGACACGGTCCCACTCGTTAGCGCCAGCAGCATTGCCCTCGAGGCGGCAAGGAACGGTGGTGGCCCAGTTGGTGAAGGTGAGCCCCATGGCCGTCTTGATGTTGAGCAGAGCCGCCGCTGATGGGGGAAGTGGCGAAAACAGGGGAGGGAGGGCGAGGAGGGAGATAGCGATGGGCCACAGGCACGCAGAGAGCGGGACAGCGGAACGTCAAACGGATGGGTCTGAGACTCACCGTCGCCGGCATTCATGTAGAGCGCAGAGCAGTAGAGCGCCACCTGAGCGCCCGAGTTCTTGACCTGCCCAGAGATGCGTGCGTCTGCGTCCGGTATGCACGCCCTGCCACCGCACAGCGTGCCGGCGCCGTCCGTGCTGCCGCAGATGGCGCAGTCGGTGGCGGCGCGCTGAGTGCCGGCGCAGCTGCCAGTGCTGGCGAAGCAGTTGCTGCCGCTGTTGCAGAAGGACCAGGTGCCCGTGGGGATGCTGCCCACCAGGTAGTTGGAGTACAGGTCCAGACTCTTGAACTTTGTGATGGCCGTGGGGACCGTGCCCGTCAGGTAGTTGAAGCGGAACGTGCTGCAGGGGTGGGGTGCACCGAAGATAGCGTTTGGCAAGGTGAACCTTCTGGGGCCCTTGGAGGGCAGTGATTGGCCGCCTCAACCTTTGCTTCCGGAAGACACCTTGGGTCGAGAGGATATGACAAAAAGCCATGCTGGTACGACCCATGGGCCTCTATTCTGTACTTACACGCTAGTAAGGCTGGGCAGGTTCATGAGCACGCTTGGAAAAGACCCCGAGAAGTACATGTACTGCATGGCCCTGGCAGAGAGGGAAACGGAAATGCGAGGCAAGCACACCTGAGAGAGTGAAATAGGAGGAGGAGGGATTACACATACAGGCTCTCCCTGCGGCCACACTACTAACATGGCCTTCGAACCCAATACTTGATACCCACATGCATTTTGATTTGAAAACCCAATAGTCAATAATACCCTCATGCCAATCGAGTGGAGCTAAATAGCTCATAGCCATGGCACTTTCAAGTTGGCACTCACAGGGTCTTCAAGTTGGTGAGCGCCGAGAAATCCTTGAGGTAGGTCTCAAGGTTGCCATCAATGAAGTTCCACGGCATCCACCTGCACACCGCAAAGGAAACGCTGAGGGTCAGGCTGGCACGGTCAGACCTCAGCCACACGGTCACACTTCAGCCGCACCGCCACACTTATGCTGCACGGCCGTGTGACGATCGCCGGCGACAGGTGCACAACAGACTTGAACACTCATGCCTGCACAGCTCATGCAACTCCTCCCAGCCTTGTAGCGTGGAATTGATAAAGAATTTTTGGACCACAAACACCACCAGCACAATCGCAACACGGCCAGCACAATCGCAACATGGCCAGCGCAATCACACCATGGCCAGCACACTCACACCATGGCCACCAACCATGGCCAGCACACTCACACCATGGCCAGCACACTCACACCATGGCCAGCACACTCACACCATGGCCAGCACACTCACACCATGGCCAGCACACTCACACCATGGCCCAGCACACTCACACCATGCCCCAGCACACTCACACCATGCCCAGCACACTCACACCATGCCCAGCACACTTACACCATGCCCAGCCCGGTGAGGTTGGAGATGCCGGACGGGAAGCTCTTGCGCACGAGGTTCATGGAGTCCAGGTTGCTGCCCATGCGCACCGCACAGATTTGGAAACGAGATGAGTGAAACAAATCCAAAGTTGCTACAATTGGAGCAAACAACCTCACCACAACGATTCCACCGGGCTTTCCGCTCAATTGGGTTCACAGCACGAGTGAACGGGTGAACGGATGCACGGGTGCACTCACATCATGAAGAGGCGGCGGTCAGCGGTGCAGCTGACGCGGTCCCACTCGCCAGCACTGGCACTGGCGCCCTCCAGGCGGCAGGGATTGGTGGTGGCCCAGTTGGTGAAGGTGAGCCCCATGGCCGTCTTGATGTTGAGCAGAACCGCCGCTGATGGGGGAAGTGGCGAAAACAGGGGATGGAGGGCGAGGAGAGGGAGGTAGCGATGGGCCACAGGCACGCAGAGACCGGGACAGGGAATCGTCAAACGGATGGGTTTAAGCCTTACCGTCACCGGCATCCATGTAGAGTGTATAGCAGTTGAGCGCCACTTGAGCGCCGAAGTTCTTGACCTTGCTGGCAATAGCCGTGTCGGCGTCTGGCACGCACGGCTTGGTGCCACCGCACAGCGTGCCAGTACCATCCGTGCTGCCACATATGGCGCACGCGGTGACGGCACGCTGGCTGCCGGCGCAGCTGCCAGTGCTGGCGAAGCAGTTGCTGCCGCTGTTGCAGAAGGACCAGGTGCCCGTGGGGATGCTTCCCACCAGGTAGTTGGAGTACAGGTCCAGACTCTTCAACTTTGTGATGGCTGTGGGGACCGTGCCCGTCAGGTAGTTGAAGCGGAGCGCCCTGCAATGGGGTGGGGAGCAGACACAAGCGATAGGTGTTCAATGTTCGGGCAGTAATTGGTGCCGTGCAGGGGAATGATTGGTCTTATGCAGGGCAGCGATTGGCAGTGTCGAGGGCAGTGGTTGGTGGCGTGCAGGGCAGTGATTGGTCTTATGCCGGGCAGTGATTGGTCTTATGCCGGGCAGTGATTGGTCTTATGCAGGGCAGCGATTGGCTGCGTGGAGGGCAGTGATTGGACACGTCGAGACCAGTGATTGGTTGTGTGGATTTGCCTCCAGAGGGCGAAGCTCTTCTCATGCAAGCATTGTTCAAAGAAGGATGGAGGGAACGTGGAGGATGGCGAGAGAAGGAGCCCGAAACAGAGACACCGGGAAGGGAATGAAGAGAGGGGGAGAGAGCAAAGCCTCTACATTCTGTACTTACGCATTGGTCAGGCTGGGCAGACTCATGAGTATGCTGGGGAACGAACCCGAGAAGTACATGTACTGCATGGCTCTGGCAGAGGGGAACAATGAAAGAGAAAGGGGGCGACACTTAAGAGAGGGAAATGGTTGAGAGTTGGCATGGCTCCGGCACAAGTAGAGAGAGACGAGGAAGCAGAAGGAAGGCACAACATGAGAGGGAGCGATGAGGCACACGCGTTAACACTCGCAAGCCAGTCGGGGTCCTACTCCTCATGCAACATAGTTGGGTTCATACCGTACTCCCATGGCCCTCAATCCCAATAGCTGCTTCCTACATGGCTTTCCAATAGCAAGCACCCACCTGGCTTTCAAAATGGCACTCACAGGGTGTTCAAGTTTGTCAGCGTAGAGAAATCCTTGAGGTAGTCTGCGAGGCTTCCATCAATGAAGTTCCACGGCATCACCCTGCGCGCGGACCAGGGAAACGCTAAGGGTCAGGCTGGACTCACATAGTGCGAGAATCATCATCAATGCACGGCCCCAAACAAGCATCCACGCACGCAGGCATGCACGCACGCATGCACGCACACATGCACGCACGCATGCACGCACGCACGAGCGCATGCAGGCACGGCTCATTTGACTCCTACCAGACCTGAAGCGCACTCACACCATGGGCAGCGCACTCACACACCATGGGCAGGGGCACTCACACAAGGCCCAGCGTTGTGAGCTTGGAGATGTCTGAAGGGAAGCTCTTGCGCACAAGACCTGCGGAGTCCAGGTTTCTGCCAGTGGCCAAAGCCACACCAAGGGAAGCAACACACGGGTGAGGCAAAGCGTGCGGCGCACAACGTAGCGTACATGGAGGTCAGCCAAGGAGAGGCGGATTGCAGGCGCAGCTCACGCGCCACGCCTTCACCGCTGCACTCACATGGAGTAGAGGCGGCCGTCGGATGTGCAGCTGACACGGTCCCACTCGTTAGCGCCAGCAGCATTGCCCTCGAGGCGGCAAGGAACCGTGGTAGCCCAGTTGCTGAAGGTGAGCCCCATGGCCGTCTTGATGTTGAGCAGAGCCGCCGCTGATGGGGGAAGTGGCGAAAACAGGGGAGGGAGGGCGAGGAGAGGGAGATAGCGATGTGCCACAGGCACGCAGAGAGCGGGACAGCGGAACGTCAAACGGATGGGTCTGAGACTTACCGTCGCCGGCATTCATGTAGAGCGCAGAGCAGTAGAGCGCCACCTGAGCGCCCGAGTTCTTGACCTGCCCAGAGATGCGTGCGTCTGCGTCCGGTATGCACGCCCTGCCACCGCACAGCGTGCCGGCGCCGTCCGTGCTGCCGCAGATGGCGCAGTCGGTGGCGGCGCGCTGAGTGCCGGCGCAGCTGCCAGTGCTGGCGAAGCAGTTGCTGCCGCTGTTGCAGAAGGACCAGGTGCCCGTGGGGATGCTGCCCACCAGGTAGTTGGAGTACAGGTCCAGACTCTTGAACTTTGTGATGGCCGTGGGGACCGTGCCCGTCAGGTAGTTGAAGCGGAACGTGCTGCAGGGGTGGGGTGCACCGAAGATAGCGTTTGGCAAGGTGAACCTTCTGGGGCCCTTGGAGGGCAGTGATTGGCCGCCTCAACCTTTGCTTCCGGAAGACACCTTGGGTCGAGAGGATATGACAAAAAGCCATGCTGGTACGACCCATGGGCCTCTATTCTGTACTTACACGCTAGTAAGGCTGGGCAGGTTCATGAGCACACTTGGAAAAGACCCCGAGAAGTACATGTACTGCATGGCCCTGGCAGAGAGGGAAACGGAAAAGCAAGGCAAGCACACCTGAGAGAGTGAAATAGGAGGAGGAGGGATTACACATACAGGCTCTCCCTGCGGCCACACTACTAACATGGCCTTCGAACCCAATACTTGATACCCACATGCATTTTGATTTGAAAACCCTATAGTCAATAATACCCTCATGCCAATCGAGTGGAGCTAAATAGCTCATAGCCATGGCACTTTCAAGTTGGCACTCACAGAGTCTTCAAGTTGGTGAGCGCCGAGAAATCCTTGAGGTAGGTCTCAAGGTTGCCATCAATGAAGTTCCACGGCATCCACCTGAACGCCGCAAAGGAAACGCTGAGGGTCAGGCTGGCACGGTCAGACCTCAGCCACACGGTCACACTTCAGCCGCACCGCCACACTTATGCTGCACGGCCGTCTGACGATCGCCGGCGACAGGTGCACAACAGACTTGAAGACTCATGCCTGCACAGCTCATGCAACTCCTCCCAGCCTTGTAGCGTGGAATTGATAGAGAATTTTTGGACCACAAACACCACCAGCACAATCGCAACATGGCCAGCGCAATCGCAACATGGCCAGCGCACTCACACCATGGCCAGCGCACTCACACCATGGCCAGCACACTCACACCATGGCCAGCACACTCACACCATGCCCAGCACACTCACACCATGGCCAGCACACTCACACCATGGCCAGCACACTCACACCATGGCCAGCACACTCACACCATGCCCAGCACACTTACACCATGCCCAGCCCGGTGAGGTTGGAGATGTCAGACGGGAAGCTCTTGCGCACGAGGTTCATGGAGTCCAGGTTGCTGCCATGCGCACCGCACAGATTTGGAAACGAGATGAGTGAAACAAATCCAAAGTTGCTACAATTGGAGCAAACAACCTCACCACAACGATTCCACCGGGCTTTCCGCTCCATTGGGTTCACAGCACGAGTGAACGGGTGAACGGATGCACGGGTGCACTCACATCATGAAGAGGCGGCGGTCAGCGGTGCAGCTGACGCGGTCCCACTCGCCAGCACTGGCACTGGCGCCCTCCAGGCGGCAGGGATTGGTGGTGGCCCAGTTGGTGAAGGTGAGCCCCATGGCCGTCTTGATGTTGAGCAGAACCGCCGCTGATGGGGGAAGTGGCGAAAACAGGGGATGGAGGGCGAGGAGAGGGAGGTAGCGATGGGCCACAGGCACGCAGAGACCGGGACAGGGAATCGTCAAACGGATGGGTTTAAGCCTTACCGTCACCGGCATCCATGTAGAGTGTATAGCAGTTGAGCGCCACTTGAGCGCCGAAGTTCTTGACCTTGCTGGCAATAGCCGTGTCGGCGTCTGGCACGCACGGCTTGGTGCCACCGCACAGCGTGCCAGTACCATCCGTGCTGCCACATATGGCGCACGCGGTGACGGCGCGCTGGCTGCCGGCGCAGCTGCCAGTGCTGGCGAAGCAGTTGCTGCCGCTGTTGCAGAAGGACCAGGTGCCCGTGGGGATGCTTCCCACCAGGTAGTTGGAGTACAGGTCCAGACTCTTCAACTTTGTGATGGCTGTGGGGACCGTGCCCGTCAGGTAGTTGAAGCGGAGCGCCCTGCAATGGGGTGGGGAGCAGACACAAGCGATAGGTGTTCAATGTTCGGGCAGTAATTGGTGCCGTGCAGGGGAATGATTGGTCTTATGCAGGGCAGCGATTGGCAGTGTCGAGGGCAGTGGTTGGTGGCGTGCAGGGCAGTGATTGGTCTTATGCCGGGCAGTGATTGGTCTTATGCCGGGCAGTGATTGGTCTTATGCAGGGCAGCGATTGGCTGCGTGGAGGGCAGTGATTGGACACGTCGAGACCAGTGATTGGTGGTGTGGATTTGCCTCCAGAGGGCGAAGCTCTTCTCATGCAAGCATTGTTCAAAGAAGGATGGAGGGAACGTGGAGGATGGCGAGAGAAGGAGCCCGAAACAGAGACACCGGGAAGGAATGAAGAGAGGGGGAGAGAGCAAAGCCTCTACATTCTGTACTTACGCATTGGTCAGGCTGGGCAGGCTCATGAGTATGCTGGGGAACGAACCCGAGAAGTACATGTACTGCATGGCTCTGGCAGAGGGGAACAATGAAAGAGAAAGGGGGCGACACTTAAGAGAGGGAAATGGTTGAGAGTTGGCATGGCTCCGGCACAAGTAGAGAGAGACGAGGAAGCAGAAGGAAGGCACAACATGAGAGGGAGCGATATGAGGCACACGCGTTAACACTCGCAAGCCAGTCGGGGTCCTACTCCTCATGCAACATAGTTGGGTTCGTACCGTACTCCCATGGCCCTCAATCCCAATAGCTGCTTCCTACATGGCTTTCCAATAGCAAGCACCCACCTGGCTTTCAAAATGGCACTCACAGGGTGTTCAAGTTTGTCAGCGTAGAGAAATCCTTGAGGTAGTCTGCGAGGCTTCCATCAATGAAGTTCCACGGCATCACCCTGCGCGCGGACCAGGGAAACACTAAGGGTCAGGCTGGACTCACATAGTGCAAGAATCATCATCAATGCACGGCCCCAAACAAGCATCCACGCACGCAGGCATGCACGCACGCATGCACGCACGCACGCACGCATGCACGCACGCACGAGCGCATGCAGGCACGGCTCATTTGACTCCTACCAGACCTGAAGCGCACTCACACCATGGGCAGCGCACTCACACACCATGGGCAGGGGCACTCACACAAGGCCCAGCGTTGTGAGCTTGGAGATGTCTGAAGGGAAGCTCTTGCGCACAAGACCTGCGGAGTCCAGGTTTCTGCCAGTGGCCAAAGCCACACCAAGGGAAGCAACACACGGGTGAGGCAAAGCGTGCGGCGCACAACGTAGCGTACATGGAGGTCAGCCAAGGAGAGGCGGATTGCAGGCGCAGCTCACGCGCCACGCCTTCACCGCTGCACTCACATGGAGTAGAGGCGGCCGTCGGATGTGCAGCTGACACGGTCCCACTCGTTAGCGCCAGCAGCATTGCCCTCGAGGCGGCAAGGAACCGTGGTGGCCCAGTTGGTGAAGGTGAGCCCCATGGCCGTCTTGATGTTGAGCAGAGCCGCCGCTGATGGGGAAGTGGCGAAAACAGGGGAGGGAGGGCGAGGAGAGGGAGATAGCGATGTGCCACAGGCACGCAGAGAGCGGGACAGCGGAACGTCAAACGGATGGGTCTGAGACTTACCGTCGCCGGCATTCATGTAGAGCGCAGAGCAGTAGAGCGCCACCTGAGCGCCCGAGTTCTTGACCTGCCCAGAGATGCGTGCGTCTGCGTCCGGTATGCACGCCCTGCCACCGCACAGCGTGCCGGCGCCGTCCGTGCTGCCGCAGATGGCGCAGTCGGTGGCGGCGCGCTGAGTGCCGGCGCAGCTGCCAGTGCTGGCGAAGCAGTTGCTGCCGCTGTTGCAGAAGGACCAGGTGCCCGTGGGGATGCTGCCCACCAGGTAGTTGGAGTACAGGTCCAGACTCTTGAACTTTGTGATGGCCGTGGGGACCGTGCCCGTCAGGTAGTTGAAGCGGAACGTGCTGCAGGGGTGGGGTGCACCGAAGATAGCGTTTGGCAAGGTGAACCTTCTGGGGCCCTTGGAGGGCAGTGATTGGCCGCCTCAACCTTTGCTTCCGGAAGACACCTTGGGTCGAGAGGATATGACAAAAAGCCATGCTGGTACGACCCATGGGCCTCTATTCTGTACTTACACGCTAGTAAGGCTGGGCAGGTTCATGAGCACGCTTGGAAAAGACCCCGAGAAGTACATGTACTGCATGGCCCTGGCAGAGAGGGAAACGGAAATGCGAGGCAAGCACACCTGAGAGAGTGAAATAGGAGGAGGAGGGATTACACATACAGGCTCTCCCTGCGGCCACACTACTAACATGGCCTTCGAACCCAATACTTGATACCCACATGCATTTTGATTTGAAAACCCTATAGTCAATAATACCCTCATGCCAATCGAGTGGAGCTAAATAGCTCATAGCCATGGCACTTTCAAGTTGGCACTCACAGAGTCTTCAAGTTGGTGAGCGCCGAGAAATCCTTGAGGTAGGTCTCAAGGTTGCCATCAATGAAGTTCCACGGCATCCACCTGCACGCCGCAAAGGAAACGCTGAGGGTCAGGCTGGCACGGTCAGACCTCAGCCACACGGTCACACTTCAGCCGCACCGCCACACTTATGCTGCACGGCCGTGTGACGATCGCCGGCGACAGGTGCACAACAGACTTGAACACTCATGCCTGCACAGCTCATGCAACTCCTCCCAGCCTTGTAGCGTGGAATTGATAGAGAATTTTTGGACCACAAACACCACCAGCACAATCGCAACATGGCCAGCGCAATCGCAACATGGCCAGCGCACTCACACCATGGCCAGCGCACTCACACCATGGCCAGCACACTCACACCATGGCCAGCACACTCACACCATGGCCAGCACACTCACACCATGGCCAGCACACTCACACCATGGCCAGCACACTCACACCATGCCCAGCACACTTACACCATGCCCAGCCCGGTGAGGTTGGAGATGTCGGACGGGAAGCTCTTGCGCACGAGGTTCATGGAGTCCAGGTTGCTGCCCATGCGCACCGCACAGATTTGGAAACGAGATGAGTGAAACAAATCCAAAGTTGCTACAATTGGAGCAAACAACCTCACCACAACGATTCCACCGGGCTTTCCGCTCCATTGGGTTCACAGCACGAGTGAACGGGTGAACGAATGCACGGGTGCACTCACATCATGAAGAGGCGGCGGTCAGCGGTGCAGCTGACGCGGTCCCACTCGCCAGCACTGGCACTGGCGCCCTCCAGGCGGCAGGGATTGGTGGTGGCCCAGTTGGTGAAGGTGAGCCCCATGGCCGTCTTGATGTTGAGCAGAACCGCCGCTGATGGGGGAAGTGGCGAAAACAGGGGATGGAGGGCGAGGAGAGGGAGGTAGCGATGGGCCACAGGCACGCAGAGAGCGGGACAGGGAATCGTCAAACGGATGGGTTTAAGCCTTACCGTCACCGGCATCCATGTAGAGTGTATAGCAGTTGAGCGCCACTTGAGCGCCGAAGTTCTTGACCTTGCTGGCAATAGCCGTGTCGGCGTCTGGCACGCACGGCTTGGTGCCACCGCACAGCGTGCCAGTACCATCCGTGCTGCCACATATGGCGCACGCCGGTGACGGCGCGCTGGCTGCCGGCGCAGCTGCCAGTGCTGGCGAAGCAGTTGCTGCCGCTGTTGCAGAAGGACCAGGTGCCCGTGGGGATGCTTCCCACCAGGTAGTTGGAGTACAGGTCCAGACTCTTCAACTTTGTGATGGCTGTGGGACCGTGCCCGTCAGGTAGTTGAAGCGGAGCGCCCTGCAATGGGGTGGGGAGCAGACACAAGCGATAGGTGTTCAATGTTCGGGCAGTAATTGGTGCCGTGCAGGGGAATGATTGGTCTTATGCAGGGCAGCGATTGGCAGTGTCGAGGGCAGTGGTTGGTGGCGTGCAGGGCAGTGATTGGTCTTATGCCGGGCAGTGATTGGTCTTATGCCGGGCAGTGATTGGTCTTATGCAGGGCAGCGATTGGCTGCGTGGAGGGCAGTGATTGGACACGTCGAGACCAGTGATTGGTGGTGTGGATTTGCCTCCAGAGGGCGAAGCTCTTCTCATGCAAGCATTGTTCAAAGAAGGATGGAGGGAACGTGGAGGATGGCGAGAGAAGGAGCCCGAAACAGAGACACCGGGAAGGGAATGAAGAGAGGGGGAGAGAGCAAAGCCTCTACATTCTGTACTTACGCATTGGTCAGGCTGGGCAGACTCATGAGTATGCTGGGGAACGAACCCGAGAAGTACATGTACTGCATGGCTCTGGCAGAGGGGAACAATGAAAGAGAAAGGGGGCGACACTTAAGAGAGGGAAATGGTTGAGAGTTGGCATGGCTCCGGCACAAGTAGAGAGAGACGAGGAAGCAGAAGGAAGGCACAACATGAGAGGGAGCGATGAGGCACACGCGTTAACACTCGCAAGCCAGTCGGGGTCCTACTCCTCATGCAACATAGTTGGGTTCATACCGTACTCCCATGGCCCTCAATCCCAATAGCTGCTTCCTACATGGCTTTCCAATAGCAAGCACCCACCTGGCTTTCAAAATGGCACTCACAGGGTGTTCAAGTTTGTCAGCGTAGAGAAATCCTTGAGGTAGTCTGCGAGGCTTCCATCAATGAAGTTCCACGGCATCACCCTGCGCGCGGACCAGGGAAACGCTAAGGGTCAGGCTGGACTCACATAGTGCGAGAATCATCATCAATGCACGGCCCCAAACAAGCATCCACGCACGCAGGCATGCACGCACGCATGCACGCACGCACGCACGCATGCACGCACGCACGAGCGCATGCAGGCACGGCTCATATGACTCCTACCAGACCTGAAGCGCACTCACACCATGGGCAGCGCACTCACACACCATGGGCAGGGGCACTCACACAAGGCCCAGCGTTGTGAGCTTGGAGATGTCTGAAGGGAAGCTCTTGCGCACAAGACCTGCGGAGTCCAGGTTTCTGCCAGTGGCCAAAGCCACACCAAGGGAAGCAACACACGGGTGAGGCAAAGCGTGCGGCACACAACGTAGCGTACATGGAGGTCAGCCAAGGAGAGGCGGATTGCAGGCGCAGCTCACGCGCCACGCCTTCACCGCTGCACTCACATGGAGTAGAGGCGGCCGTCGGATGTGCAGCTGACACGGTCCCACTCGTTAGCGCCAGCAGCATTGCCCTCGAGGCGGCAAGGAACCGTGGTGGCCCAGTTGGTGAAGGTGAGCCCCATGGCCGTCTTGATGTTGAGCAGAGCCGCCGCTGATGGGGGAAGTGGCGAAAACAGGGGAGGGAGGGCGAGGAGAGGGAGATAGCGATGTGCCACAGGCACGCAGAGAGCGGGACAGCGGAACGTCAAACGGATGGGTCTGAGACTTACCGTCGCCGGCATTCATGTAGAGCGCAGAGCAGTAGAGCGCCACCTGAGCGCCCGAGTTCTTGACCTGCCCAGAGATGCGTGCGTCTGCGTCCGGTATGCACGCCCTGCCACCGCACAGCGTGCCGGCGCCGTCCGTGCTGCCGCAGATGGCGCAGTCGGTGGCGGCGCGCTGAGTGCCGGCGCAGCTGCCAGTGCTGGCGAAGCAGTTGCTGCCGCTGTTGCAGAAGGACCAGGTGCCCGTGGGGATGCTGCCCACCAGGTAGTTGGAGTACAGGTCCAGACTCTTGAACTTTGTGATGGCCGTGGGGACCGTGCCCGTCAGGTAGTTGAAGCGGAACGTGCTGCAGGGGTGGGGTGCACCGAAGATAGCGTTTGGCAAGGTGAACCTTCTGGGGCCCTTGGAGGGCAGTGATTGGCCGCCTCAACCTTTGCTTCCGGAAGACACCTTGGGTCGAGAGGATATGACAAAAAGCCATGCTGGTACGACCCATGGGCCTCTATTCTGTACTTACACGCTAGTAAGGCTGGGCAGGTTCATGAGCACGCTTGGAAAAGACCCCGAGAAGTACATGTACTGCATGGCCCTGGCAGAGAGGGAAACGGAAAAGCAAGGCAAGCACACCTGAGAGAGTGAAATAGGAGGAGGAGGGATTACACATACAGGCTCTCCCTGCGGCCACACTACTAACATGGCCTTCGAACCCAATACTTGATACCCACATGCATTTTGATTTGAAAACCCTATAGTCAATAATACCCTCATGCCAATCGAGTGGAGCTAAATAGCTCATAGCCATGGCACTTTCAAGTTGGCACTCACAGAGTCTTCAAGTTGGTGAGCGCCGAGAAATCCTTGAGGTAGGTCTCAAGGTTGCCATCAATGAAGTTCCACGGCATCCACCTGCACGCCGCAAAGGAAACGCTGAGGGTCAGGCTGGCACGGTCAGACCTCAGCCACACGGTCACACTTCAGCCGCACCGCCACACTTATGCTGCACGGCCGTCTGACGATCGCCGGCGACAGGTGCACAACAGACTTGAAGACTCATGCCTGCACAGCTCATGCAACTCCTCCCAGCCTTGTAGCGTGGAATTGATAGAGAATTTTTGGACCACAAACACCACCAGCACAATCGCAACATGGCCAGCGCAATCACAACATGGCCAGCGCACTCACACCATGGCCAGCGCACTCACACCATGGCCAGCACACTCACACCATGGCCAGCACACTCACACCATGCCCAGCACACTCACACCATGGCCAGCACACTCACACCATGGCCAGCACACTCACACCATGGCCAGCACACTCACACCATGCCCAGCACACTTACACCATGCCCAGCCCGGTGAGGTTGGAGATGTCGGACGGGAAGCTCTTGCGCACGAGGTTCATGGAGTCCAGGTTGCTGCCCATGCGCACCGCACAGATTTGGAAACGAGATGAGTGAAACAAATCCAAAGTTGCTACAATTGGAGCAAACAACCTCACCACCACGATTCCACCGGGCTTTCCGCTCCATTGGGTTCACAGCACGAGTGAACGGGTGAACGGATGCACGGGTGCACTCACATCATGAAGAGGCGGCGGTCAGCGGTGCAGCTGACGCGGTCCCACTCGCCAGCACTGGCACTGGCGCCCTCCAGGCGGCAGGGATTGGTGGTGGCCCAGTTGGTGAAGGTGAGCCCCATGGCCGTCTTGATGTTGAGCAGAACCGCCGCTGATGGGGGAAGTGGCGAAAACAGGGGATGGAGGGCGAGGAGAGGGAGGTAGCGATGGGCCACAGGCACGCAGAGAGCGGGACAGGGAATCGTCAAACGGATGGGTTTAAGCCTTACCGTCACCGGCATCCATGTAGAGTGTATAGCAGTTGAGCGCCACTTGAGCGCCGAAGTTCTTGACCTTGCTGGCAATAGCCGTGTCGGCGTCTGGCACGCACGGCTTGGTGCCACCGCACAGCGTGCCAGTACCATCCGTGCTGCCACATATGGCGCACGCGGTGACGGCGCGCTGGCTGCCGGCGCAGCTGCCAGTGCTGGCGAAGCAGTTGCTGCCGCTGTTGCAGAAGGACCAGGTGCCCGTGGGGATGCTTCCCACCAGATAGTTGGAGTACAGGTCCAGACTCTTCAACTTTGTGATGGCTGTGGGGACCGTGCCCGTCAGGTAGTTGAAGCGGAGCGCCCTGCAATGGGGTGGGGAGCAGACACAAGCGATAGGTGTTCAATGTTCGGGCAGTGATTGGTGGCGTGCAGGGCAGTGATTGGTCTTATGCAGGGCAGTGATTGGTCTTATGCAGGGCAGCGATTGGCTGCGTGGAGGGCAGTGATTGGACACGTTGAGACCAGTGATTGGTGGTGTGGATTTGCCTCCAGAGGGCGAAGCTCTTCTCATGCAAGCATTGTTCAAAGAAGGATGGAGGGAACGTGGAGGATGGCGAGAGGAGCCCGAAACAGAGACACCGGGAAGGGAATGAAGAGAGGGGGAGAGAGCAAAGCCTCTACATTCTGTACTTACGCATTGGTCAGGCTGGGCAGACTCATGAGTATGCTGGGGAACGAACCCGAGAAGTACATGTACTGCATGGCTCTGGCAGAGGGGAACAATGAAAGAGAAAGGGGGCGACACTTAAGAAAGGGAAATGGTTGAGAGTTGGCATGGCTCCGGCACAAGTAGAGAGAGACGAGGAAGCAGAAGGAAGGCACAACATGAGAGGGAGCGATATGAGGCACACGCGTTAACACTCGCAAGCCAGTCGGGGTCCTACTCCTCACGCAACATAGTTGGGTTCGTACCGTACTCCCATGGCCCTCAATCCCAATAGCTGCTTCCTACATGGCTTTCCAATAGCAAGCACCCACGTGGCTTTCAAAATGGCACTCACAGGGTGTTCAAGTTTGTCAGCTTAGAGAAATCCTTGAGGTAGTCTGCGAGGCTTCCATCAATGAAGTTCCACGGCATCACCCTGCGCGCGGACCAGGGAAACGCTAAGGGTCAGGCTGGACTCACATAGTGCGAGAATCATCATCAATGCACGGCCCCAAACAAGCATCCACGCACGCAGGCATGCACGCACGCATGCACGCACACATGCACGCACGCATGCACGCACGCACGAGCGCATGCAGGCACGGCTCATATGACTCCTACCAGACCTGAAGCGCACTCACACCATGGGCAGCGCACTCACACACCATGGGCAGGGGCACTCACACAAGGCCCAGCGTTGTGAGCTTGGAGATGTCTGAAGGAAAGCTCTTGCGCACAAGACCTGCGGAGTCCAGGTTTCTGCCAGTGGCCAAAGCCACACCAAGGGAAGCAACACACGGGTGAGGCAAAGCGTGCGGCGCACAACGTAGCGTACATGGAGGTCAGCCAAGGAGAGGCGGATTGCAGGCGCAGCTCACGCGCCACGCCTTCACCGCTGCACTCACATGGAGTAGAGGCGGCCGTCGGATGTGCAGCTGACACGGTCCCACTCGTTAGCGCCAGCAGCATTGCCCTCGAGGCGGCAAGGAACCGTGGTGGCCCAGTTGGTGAAGGTGAGCCCCATGGCTGTCTTGATGTTGAGCAGAGCCGCCGCTGATGGGGGAAGTGGCGAAAACAGGGGAGGGAGGGCGAGGAGAGGGAGATAGCGATGTGCCACAGGCACGCAGAGAGCGGGACAGCGGAACGTCAAACGGATGGGTCTGAGACTTACCGTCGCCGGCATTCATGTAGAGCGCAGAGCAGTAGAGCGCCACCTGAGCGCCCGAGTTCTTGACCTGCCCAGAGATGCGTGCGTCTGCGTCCGGTATGCACGCCCTGCCACCGCACAGCGTGCCGGCGCCGTCCGTGCTGCCGCAGATGGCGCAGTCGGTGACGGCGCGCTGAGTGCCGGCGCAGCTGCCAGTGCTGGCGAAGCAGTTGCTGCCGCTGTTGCAGAAGGACCAGGTGCCCGTGGGGATGCTGCCCACCAGGTAGTTGGAGTACAGGTCCAGACTCTTGAACTTTGTGATGGCCGTGGGGACTGTGCCCGTCAGGTAGTTGAAGCGGAACGTGCTGCAGGGGTGGGGTGCACCGAAGATAGCGTTTGGCAAGGTGAACCTTCTGGAGCCCTTGGAGGGCAGTGATTGGCCGCCTCAACCTTTGCTTCCGGAAAACACTTTGGGTCGAGAGGATATGACAAAAAGCCATGCTGGTACGACCCATGGGCCTCTATTCTGTACTTACACGCTAGTAAGGCTGGGCAGGTTCATGAGCACACTTGGAAAAGACCCCGAGAAGTACATGTACTGCATGGCCCTGGCAGAGAGGGAAACGGAAAAGCAAGGCAAGCACACCTGAGAGAGTGAAATAGGAGGAGGAGGGATTACACATACAGGCTCTCCCTGCGGCCACACTACTAACATGGCCTTCGAACCCAATACTTGATACCCACATGCATTTTGATTCGAAAACCCAATAGTCAATAATACCCTCATGCCAATCGAGTGGAGCTAAATAGCCCATAGCCATGGCACTTTCAAGTTGGCACTCACAGGGTCTTCAAGTTGGTGAGCGCCGAGAAATCCTTGAGGTAGGTCTCAAGGTTGCCATCAATGAAGTTCCACGGCATCCACCTGCACGCCGCAAAGGAAACGCTGAGGGTCAGGCTGGCACGGTCAGACCTCAGCCACACGGTTACACTTCAGCCGCACCGCCACACTTATGCTGCACGGCCGTGTGACGATCGCCAGCAACACGTCCACAACAGACTTGAAGACTCATGCCTGCACAGCTCATGCAACTCCTCCCAGCCTTGTAGCGTGGAATTGATAGAGAATTTTTGGACCACAAACACCACCAGCACAATCGCAACACGGCCAGCACAATCGCAACATGGCCACCGCAATCACACATGCCAGCACACTCACACCATGGCCAGCACACTCACACCATGGCCAGCACACTCACACCATGGCCAGCACACTCACACCATGGCCAGCACACTCACACCATGGCCAGCACACTCACACCATGGCCAGCACACTCACACCATGGCCAGCACACTCACACCATGGCCAGCACACTCACACCATGGCCAGCACACTCACACCATGGCCAGCACAGTCACACCATGCCCAGCACACTTACACCATGCCCAGCCCGGTGAGGTTTGAGATGCCGGACGGGAAGCTCTTGCGCACGAGGTTCATGGAGTCCAGGTTGCTGCCCATGCACACCGCACAGATTTGGAAACGAGATGAGTGAAACAAATCCAAAGTTGCTACAATTGGAGCAAACAACCTCACCACAACGATTCCACCGGGCTTTCCGCTCAATTGGGTTCACAGCACGAGTGAACGGGTGAACGGATGCACGGGTGCACTCACATCATGAAGAGGCGGCGGTCAGCGGTGCAGCTGACGCGGTCCCACTCGCCAGCACTGGCACTGGCGCCCTCCAGGCGGCAGGGATTGGTGGTGGCCCAGTTGGTGAAGGTGAGCCCCATGGCCGTCTTGATGTTGAGCAGAACCGCCGCTGATGGGGGAAGTGGCGAAAACAGGGGATGGAGGGCGAGGAGAGGGAGGTAGCGATGGGCCACAGGCACGCAGAGAGCGGGACAGGGAATCGTCAAACGGATGGGTTTAAGCCTTACCGTCACCGGCATCCATGTAGAGTGTATAGCAGTTGAGCGCCACTTGAGCGCCGAAGTTCTTGACCTTGCTGGCAATAGCCGTGTCGGCGTCTGGCACGCACGGCTTGGTGCCACCGCACAGCGTGCCAGTACCATCCGTGCTGCCACATATGGCGCACGCGGTGACGGCGCGCTGGCTGCCGGCGCAGCTGCCAGTGCTGGCGAAGCAGTTGCTGCCGCTGTTGCAGAAGGACCAGGTGCCCGTGGGGATGCTTCCCACCAGGTAGTTGGAGTACAGGTCCAGACTCTTCAACTTTGTGATGGCTGTGGGGACCGTGCCCGTCAGGTAGTTGAAGCGGAGCGCCCTGCAATGGGGTGGGGAGCAGACACAAGCGATAGGTGTTCAATGTTCGGGCAGTAATTGGTGCCGTGCAGGGGAATGATTGGTCTTATGCAGGGCAGCGATTGGCAGTGTCGAGGGCAGTGGTTGGTGGCGTGCAGGGCAGTGATTGGTCTTATGCCGGGCAGTGATTGGTCTTATGCCGGGCAGTGATTGGTCTTATGCAGGGCAGCGATTGGCTGCGTGGAGGGCAGTGATTGGACACGTCGAGACCAGTGATTGGTGGTGTGGATTTGCCTCCAGAGGGCGAAGCTCTTCTCATGCAAGCATTGTTCAAAGAAGGATGGAGGGAACGTGGAGGATGGCGAGAGAAGGAGCCCGAAACAGAGACACCGGGAAGGGAATGAAGAGAGGGGGAGAGAGCAAAGCCTCTACATTCTGTACTTACGCATTGGTCAGGCTGGGCAGACTCATGAGTATGCTGGGGAACGAACCCGAGAAGTACATGTACTGCATGGCTCTGGCAGAGGGGAACAATGAAAGAGAAAGGGGGCGACACTTAAGAGAGGGAAATGGTTGAGAGTTGGCATGGCTCCGGCACAAGTAGAGAGAGACGAGGAAGCAGAAGGAAGGCACAACATGAGAGGGAGCGATGAGGCACACGCGTTAACACTCGCAAGCCAGTCGGGGTCCTACTCCTCATGCAACATAGTTGGGTTCGTACCGTACTCCCATGGCCCTCAATCCCAATAGCTGCTTCCTACATGGCTTTCCAATAGCAAGCACCCACCTGGCTTTCAAAATGGCACTCACAGGGTGTTCAAGTTTGTCAGCGTAGAGAAATCCTTGAGGTAGTCTGCGAGGCTTCCATCAATGAAGTTCCACGGCATCACCCTGCGCGCGGACCAGGGAAACGCTAAGGGTCAGGCTGGACTCACATAGTGCAAGAATCATCATCAATGCACGGCCCCAAACAAGCATCCACGCACGCAGGCATGCACGCACGCATGCACGCACGCACGCACGCATGCACGCACGCACGAGCGCATGCAGGCACGGCTCATATGACTCCTACCAGACCTGAAGCGCACTCACACCATGGGCAGCGCACTCACACACCATGGGCAGGGGCACTCACACAAGGCCCAGCGTTGTGAGCTTGGAGATGTCTGAAGGGAAGCTCTTGCGCACAAGACCTGCGGAGTCCAGGTTTCTGCCAGTGGCCAAAGCCACACCAAGGGAAGCAACACACGGGTGAGGCAAAGCGTGCGGCGCACAACGTAGCGTACATGGAGGTCAGCCAAGGAGAGGCGGATTGCAGGCGCAGCTCACGCGCCACGCCTTCACCGCTGCACTCACATGGAGTAGAGGCGGCCGTCGGATGTGCAGCTGACACGGTCCCACTCGTTAGCGCCAGCAGCATTGCCCTCGAGGCGGCAAGGAACCGTGGTGGCCCAGTTGGTGAAGGTGAGCCCCATGGCCGTCTTGATGTTGAGCAGAGCCGCCGCTGATGGGGGAAGTGGCGAAAACAGGGGAGGGAGGGCGAGGAGAGGGAGATAGCGATGTGCCACAGGCACGCAGAGAGCGGGACAGCGGAACGTCAAACGGATGGGTCTGAGACTTACCGTCGCCGGCATTCATGTAGAGCGCAGAGCAGTAGAGCGCCACCTGAGCGCCCGAGTTCTTGACCTGCCCAGAGATGCGTGCGTCTGCGTCCGGTATGCACGCCCTGCCACCGCACAGCGTGCCGGCGCCGTCCGTGCTGCCGCAGATGGCGCAGTCGGTGGCGGCGCGCTGAGTGCCGGCGCAGCTGCCAGTGCTGGCGAAGCAGTTGCTGCCGCTGTTGCAGAAGGACCAGGTGCCCGTGGGGATGCTGCCCACCAGGTAGTTGGAGTACAGGTCCAGACTCTTGAACTTTGTGATGGCCGTGGGGACCGTGCCCGTCAGGTAGTTGAAGCGGAACGTGCTGCAGGGGTGGGGTGCACCGAAGATAGCGTTTGGCAAGGTGAACCTTCTGGGGCCCTTGGAGGGCAGTGATTGGCCGCCTCAACCTTTGCTTCCGGAAGACACCTTGGGTCGAGAGGATATGACAAAAAGCCATGCTGGTACGACCCATGGGCCTCTATTCTGTACTTACACGCTAGTAAGGCTGGGCAGGTTCATGAGCACGCTTGGAAAAGACCCCGAGAAGTACATGTACTGCATGGCCCTGGCAGAGAGGGAAACGGAAAAGCAAGGCAAGCACACCTGAGAGAGTGAAATAGGAGGAGGAGGGATTACACATACAGGCTCTCCCTGCGGCCACACTACTAACATGGCCTTCGAACCCAATACTTGATACCCACATGCATTTTGATTTGAAAACCCTATAGTCAATAATACCCTCATGCCAATCGAGTGGAGCTAAATAGCTCATAGCCATGGCACTTTCAAGTTGGCACTCACAGAGTCTTCAAGTTGGTGAGCGCCGAGAAATCCTTGAGGTAGGTCTCAAGGTTGCCATCAATGAAGTTCCACGGCATCCACCTGCACGCCGCAAAGGAAACGCTGAGGGTCAGGCTGGCACGGTCAGACCTCAGCCACACGGTCACACTTCAGCCGCACCGCCACACTTATGCTGCACGGCCGTCTGACGATCGCCGGCGACAGGTGCACAACAGACTTGAAGACTCATGCCTGCACAGCTCATACAACTCCTCCCAGCCTTGTAGCGTGGAATTGATAGAGAATTTTTGGACCACAAACACCACCAGCACAATCGCAACATGGCCAGCGCAATCACAACATGGCCAGCGCACTCACACCATGGCCAGCGCACTCACACCATGGCCAGCACACTCACACCATGGCCAGCACACTCACACCATGCCCAGCACACTCACACCATGGCCAGCACACTCACACCATGGCCAGCACACTCACACCATGGCCAGCACACTCACACCATGCCCAGCACACTTACGCCATGCCCAGCCCGGTGAGGTTGGAGATGTCGGACGGGAAGCTCTTGCGCACGAGGTTCATGGAGTCCAGGTTGCTGCCCATGCGCACCGCACAGATTTGGAAACGAGATGAGTGAAACAAATCCAAAGTTGCTACAATTGGAGCAAACAACCTCACCACCACGATTCCACCGGGCTTTCCGCTCCATTGGGTTCACAGCACGAGTGAACGGGTGAACGGATGCACGGGTGCACTCACATCATGAAGAGGCGGCGGTCAGCGGTGCAGCTGACGCGGTCCCACTCGCCAGCACTGGCACTGGCGCCCTCCAGGCGGCAGGGATTGGTGGTGGCCCAGTTGGTGAAGGTGAGCCCCATGGCCGTCTTGATGTTGAGCAGAACCGCCGCTGATGGGGGAAGTGGCGAAAACAGGGGATGGAGGGCGAGGAGAGGGAGGTAGCGATGGGCCACAGGCACGCAGAGAGCGGGACAGGGAATCGTCAAACGGATGGGTTTAAGCCTTACCGTCACCGGCATCCATGTAGAGTGTATAGCAGTTGAGCGCCACTTGAGCGCCGAAGTTCTTGACCTTGCTGGCAATAGCCGTGTCGGCGTCTGGCACGCACGGCTTGGTGCCACCGCACAGCGTGCCAGTACCATCCGTGCTGCCACATATGGCGCACGCGGTGACGGCGCGCTGGCTGCCGGCGCAGCTGCCAGTGCTGGCGAAGCAGTTGCTGCCGCTGTTGCAGAAGGACCAGGTGCCCGTGGGGATGCTTCCCACCAGATAGTTGGAGTACAGGTCCAGACTCTTCAACTTTGTGATGGCTGTGGGGACCGTGCCCGTCAGGTAGTTGAAGCGGAGCGCCCTGCAATGGGGTGGGGAGCAGACACAAGCGATAGGTGTTCAATGTTCGGGCAGTGATTGGTGGCGTGCAGGGCAGTGATTGGTCTTATGCAGGGCAGTGATTGGTCTTATGCAGGGCAGCGATTGGCTGCGTGGAGGGCAGTGATTGGACACGTTGAGACCAGTGATTGGTGGTGTGGATTTGCCTCCAGAGGGCGAAGCTCTTCTCATGCAAGCATTGTTCAAAGAAGGATGGAGGGAACGTGGAGGATGGCGAGAGGAGCCCGAAACAGAGACACCGGGAAGGGAATGAAGAGAGGGGGAGAGAGCAAAGCCTCTACATTCTGTACTTACGCATTGGTCAGGCTGGGCAGACTCATGAGTATGCTGGGGAACGAACCCGAGAAGTACATGTACTGCATGGCTCTGGCAGAGGGGAACAATGAAAGAGAAAGGGGGCGACACTTAAGAAAGGGAAATGGTTGAGAGTTGGCATGGCTCCGGCACAAGTAGAGAGAGACGAGGAAGCAGAAGGAAGGCACAACATGAGAGGGAGCGATATGAGGCACACGCGTTAACACTCGCAAGCCAGTCGGGGTCCTACTCCTCACGCAACATAGTTGGGTTCGTACCGTACTCCCATGGCCCTCAATCCCAATAGCTGCTTCCTACATGGCTTTCCAATAGCAAGCACCCACGTGGCTTTCAAAATGGCACTCACAGGGTGTTCAAGTTTGTCAGCGTAGAGAAATCCTTGAGGTAGTCTGCGAGGCTTCCATCAATGAAGTTCCACGGCATCACCCTGCGCGCGGACCAGGGAAACGCTAAGGGTCAGGCTGGACTCACATAGTGCGAGAATCATCATCAATGCACGGCCCCAAACAAGCATCCACGCACGCAGGCATGCACGCACGCATGCACGCACACATGCACGCACGCATGCACGCACGCACGAGCGCATGCAGGCACGGCTCATATGACTCCTACCAGACCTGAAGCGCACTCACACCATGGGCAGCGCACTCACACACCATGGGCAGGGGCACTCACACAAGGCCCAGCGTTGTGAGCTTGGAGATGTCTGAAGGAAAGCTCTTGCGCACAAGACCTGCGGAGTCCAGGTTTCTGCCAGTGGCCAAAGCCACACCAAGGGAAGCAACACACGGGTGAGGCAAAGCGTGCGGCGCACAACGTAGCGTACATGGAGGTCAGCCAAGGAGAGGCGGATTGCAGGCGCAGCTCACGCGCCACGCCTTCACCGCTGCACTCACATGGAGTAGAGGCGGCCGTCGGATGTGCAGCTGACACGGTCCCACTCGTTAGCGCCAGCAGCATTGCCCTCGAGGCGGCAAGGAACCGTGGTGGCCCAGTTGGTGAAGGTGAGCCCCATGGCTGTCTTGATGTTGAGCAGAGCCGCCGCTGATGGGGGAAGTGGCGAAAACAGGGGAGGGAGGGCGAGGAGAGGGAGATAGCGATGTGCCACAGGCACGCAGAGAGCGGGACAGCGGAACGTCAAACGGATGGGTCTGAGACTTACCGTCGCCGGCATTCATGTAGAGCGCAGAGCAGTAGAGCGCCACCTGAGCGCCCGAGTTCTTGACCTGCCCAGAGATGCGTGCGTCTGCATCCGGTATGCACGCCCTGCCACCGCACAGCGTGCCGGCGCCGTCCGTGCTGCCGCAGATGGCGCAGTCGGTGACGGCGCGCTGAGTGCCGGCGCAGCTGCCAGTGCTAGCGAAGCAGTTGCTGCCGCTGTTGCAGAAGGACCAGGTGCCCGTGGGGATGCTGCCCACCAGGTAGTTGGAGTACAGGTCCAGACTCTTGAACTTTGTGATGGCCGTGGGGACTGTGCCCGTCAGGTAGTTGAAGCGGAACGTGCTGCAGGGGTGGGGTGCACCGAAGATAGCGTTTGGCAAGGTGAACCTTCTGGAGCCCTTGGAGGGCAGTGATTGGCCGCCTCAACCTTTGCTTCCGGAAAACACTTTGGGTCGAGAGGATATGACAAAAAGCCATGCTGGTACGACCCATGGGCCTCTATTCTGTACTTACACGCTAGTAAGGCTGGGCAGGTTCATGAGCACGCTTGGAAAAGACCCCGAGAAGTACATGTACTGCATGGCCCTGGCAGAGAGGGAAACGGAAAAGCAAGGCAAGCACACCTGAGAGAGTGAAATAGGAGGAGGAGGGATTACACATACAGGCTCTCCCTGCGGCCACACTACTAACATGGCCTTCGAACCCAATACTTGATACCCACATGCATTTTGATTCGAAAACCCAATAGTCAATAATACCCTCATGCCAATCGAGTGGAGCTAAATAGCCCATAGCCATGGCACTTTCAAGTTGGCACTCACAGGGTCTTCAAGTTGGTGAGCGCCGAGAAATCCTTGAGGTAGGTCTCAAGGTTGCCATCAATGAAGTTCCACGGCATCCACCTGCACGCCGCAAAGGAAACGCTGAGGGTCAGGCTGGCACGGTCAGACCTCAGCCACACGGTTACACTTCAGCCGCACCGCCACACTTATGCTGCACGGCCGTGTGACGATCGCCAGCAACAGGTGCACAACAGACTTGAAGACTCATGCCTGCACAGCTCATGCAACTCCTCCCAGCCTTGTAGCGTGGAATTGATAGAGAATTTTTGGACCACAAACACCACCAGCACAATCGCAACACGGCCAGCACAATCGCAACATGGCCACCGCAATCACACCATGGCCAGCACACTCACACCATGGCCAGCACACTCACACCATGGCCAGCACACTCACACCATGGCCAGCACACTCACACCATGGCCAGCACACTCACACCATGGCCAGCACACTCACACCATGGCCAGCACACTCACACCATGGCCAGCACACTCACACCATGGCCAGCACACTCACACCATGGCCAGCACAGTCACACCATGCCCAGCACACTTACACCATGCCCAGCCCGGTGAGGTTTGAGATGCCGGACGGGAAGCTCTTGCGCACGAGGTTCATGGAGTCCAGGTTGCTGCCCATGCACACCGCACAGATTTGGAAACGAGATGAGTGAAACAAATCCAAAGTTGCTACAATTGGAGCAAACAACCTCACCACAACGATTCCACCGGGCTTTCCGCTCAATTGGGTTCACAGCACGAGTGAACGGGTGAACGGATGCACGGGTGCACTCACATCATGAAGAGGCGGCGGTCAGCGGTGCAGCTGACGCGGTCCCACTCGCCAGCACTGGCACTGGCGCCCTCCAGGCGGCAGGGATTGGTGGTGGCCCAGTTGGTGAAGGTGAGCCCCATGGCCGTCTTGATGTTGAGCAGAACCGCCGCTGATGGGGGAAGTGGCGAAAACAGGGGATGGAGGGCGAGGAGAGGGAGGTAGCGATGGGCCACAGGCACGCAGAGAGCGGGACAGGGAATCGTCAAACGGATGGGTTTAAGCCTTACCGTCACCGGCATCCATGTAGAGTGTATAGCAGTTGAGCGCCACTTGAGCGCCGAAGTTCTTGACCTTGCTGGCAATAGCCGTGTCGGCGTCTGGCACGCACGGCTTGGTGCCACCGCACAGCGTGCCAGTACCATCCGTGCTGCCACATATGGCGCACGCGGTGACGGCGCGCTGGCTGCCGGCGCAGCTGCCAGTGCTGGCGAAGCAGTTGCTGCCGCTGTTGCAGAAGGACCAGGTGCCCGTGGGGATGCTTCCCACCAGGTAGTTGGAGTACAGGTCCAGACTCTTCAACTTTGTGATGGCTGTGGGGACCGTGCCCGTCAGGTAGTTGAAGCGGAGCGCCCTGCAATGGGGTGGGGAGCAGACACAAGCGATAGGTGTTCAATGTTCGGGCAGTAATTGGTGCCGTGCAGGGGAATGATTGGTCTTATGCAGGGCAGCGATTGGCAGTGTCGAGGGCAGTGGTTGGTGGCGTGCAGGGCAGTGATTGGTCTTATGCCGGGCAGTGATTGGTCTTATGCCGGGCAGTGATTGGTCTTATGCAGGGCAGCGATTGGCTGCGTGGAGGGCAGTGATTGGACACGTCGAGACCAGTGATTGGTGGTGTGGATTTGCCTCCAGAGGGCGAAGCTCTTCTCATGCAAGCATTGTTCAAAGAAGGATGGAGGGAACGTGGAGGATGGCGAGAGAAGGAGCCCGAAACAGAGACACCGGGAAGGGAATGAAGAGAGGGGGAGAGAGCAAAGCCTCTACATTCTGTACTTACGCATTGGTCAGGCTGGGCAGACTCATGAGTATGCTGGGGAACGAACCCGAGAAGTACATGTACTGCATGGCTCTGGCAGAGGGGAACAATGAAAGAGAAAGGGGGCGACACTTAAGAGAGGGAAATGGTTGAGAGTTGGCATGGCTCCGGCACAAGTAGAGAGAGACGAGGAAGCAGAAGGAAGGCACAACATGAGAGGGAGCGATGAGGCACACGCGTTAACACTCGCAAGCCAGTCGGGGTCCTACTCCTCATGCAACATAGTTGGGTTCGTACCGTACTCCCATGGCCCTCAATCCCAATAGCTGCTTCCTACATGGCTTTCCAATAGCAAGCACCCACCTGGCTTTCAAAATGGCACTCACAGGGTGTTCAAGTTTGTCAGCGTAGAGAAATCCTTGAGGTAGTCTGCGAGGCTTCCATCAATGAAGTTCCACGGCATCACCCTGCGCGCGGACCAGGGAAACGCTAAGGGTCAGGCTGGACTCACATAGTGCAAGAATCATCATCAATGCACGGCCCCAAACAAGCATCCACGCACGCAGGCATGCACGCACGCATGCACGCACGCACGCACGCATGCACGCACGCACGAGCGCATGCAGGCACGGCTCATATGACTCCTACCAGACCTGAAGCGCACTCACACCATGGGCAGCGCACTCACACACCATGGGCAGGGGCACTCACACAAGGCCCAGCGTTGTGAGCTTGGAGATGTCTGAAGGGAAGCTCTTGCGCACAAGACCTGCGGAGTCCAGGTTTCTGCCAGTGGCCAAAGCCACACCAAGGGAAGCAACACACGGGTGAGGCAAAGCGTGCGGCGCACAACGTAGCGTACATGGAGGTCAGCCAAGGAGAGGCGGATTGCAGGCGCAGCTCACGCGCCACGCCTTCACCGCTGCACTCACATGGAGTAGAGGCGGCCGTCGGATGTGCAGCTGACACGGTCCCACTCGTTAGCGCCAGCAGCATTGCCCTCGAGGCGGCAAGGAACCGTGGTGGCCCAGTTGGTGAAGGTGAGCCCCATGGCCGTCTTGATGTTGAGCAGAGCCGCCGCTGATGGGGGAAGTGGCGAAAACAGGGGAGGGAGGGCGAGGAGAGGGAGATAGCGATGTGCCACAGGCACGCAGAGAGCGGGACAGCGGAACGTCAAACGGATGGGTCTGAGACTTACCGTCGCCGGCATTCATGTAGAGCGCAGAGCAGTAGAGCGCCACCTGAGCGCCCGAGTTCTTGACCTGCCCAGAGATGCGTGCGTCTGCGTCCGGTATGCACGCCCTGCCACCGCACAGCGTGCCGGCGCCGTCCGTGCTGCCGCAGATGGCGCAGTCGGTGGCGGCGCGCTGAGTGCCGGCGCAGCTGCCAGTGCTGGCGAAGCAGTTGCTGCCGCTGTTGCAGAAGGACCAGGTGCCCGTGGGGATGCTGCCCACCAGGTAGTTGGAGTACAGGTCCAGACTCTTGAACTTTGTGATGGCCGTGGGGACCGTGCCCGTCAGGTAGTTGAAGCGGAACGTGCTGCAGGGGTGGGGTGCACCGAAGATAGCGTTTGGCAAGGTGAACCTTCTGGGGCCCTTGGAGGGCAGTGATTGGCCGCCTCAACCTTTGCTTCCGGAAGACACCTTGGGTCGAGAGGATATGACAAAAAGCCATGCTGGTACGACCCATGGGCCTCTATTCTGTACTTACACGCTAGTAAGGCTGGGCAGGTTCATGAGCACGCTTGGAAAAGACCCCGAGAAGTACATGTACTGCATGGCCCTGGCAGAGAGGGAAACGGAAAAGCAAGGCAAGCACACCTGAGAGAGTGAAATAGGAGGAGGAGGGATTACACATACAGGCTCTCCCTGCGGCCACACTACTAACATGGCCTTCGAACCCAATACTTGATACCCACATGCATTTTGATTTGAAAACCCTATAGTCAATAATACCCTCATGCCAATCGAGTGGAGCTAAATAGCTCATAGCCATGGCACTTTCAAGTTGGCACTCACAGAGTCTTCAAGTTGGTGAGCGCCGAGAAATCCTTGAGGTAGGTCTCAAGGTTGCCATCAATGAAGTTCCACGGCATCCACCTGCACGCCGCAAAGGAAACGCTGAGGGTCAGGCTGGCACGGTCAGACCTCAGCCACACGGTCACACTTCAGCCGCACCGCCACACTTATGCTGCACGGCCGTCTGACGATCGCCGGCGACAGGTGCACAACAGACTTGAAGACTCATGCCTGCACAGCTCATACAACTCCTCCCAGCCTTGTAGCGTGGAATTGATAGAGAATTTTTGGACCACAAACACCACCAGCACAATCGCAACATGGCCAGCGCAATCACAACATGGCCAGCGCACTCACACCATGGCCAGCGCACTCACACCATGGCCAGCACACTCACACCATGGCCAGCACACTCACACCATGCCCAGCACACTCACACCATGGCCAGCACACTCACACCATGGCCAGCACACTCACACCATGGCCAGCACACTCACACCATGCCCAGCACACTTACGCCATGCCCAGCCCGGTGAGGTTGGAGATGTCGGACGGGAAGCTCTTGCGCACGAGGTTCATGGAGTCCAGGTTGCTGCCCATGCGCACCGCACAGATTTGGAAACGAGATGAGTGAAACAAATCCAAAGTTGCTACAATTGGAGCAAACAACCTCACCACCACGATTCCACCGGGCTTTCCGCTCCATTGGGTTCACAGCACGAGTGAACGGGTGAACGGATGCACGGGTGCACTCACATCATGAAGAGGCGGCGGTCAGCGGTGCAGCTGACGCGGTCCCACTCGCCAGCACTGGCACTGGCGCCCTCCAGGCGGCAGGGATTGGTGGTGGCCCAGTTGGTGAAGGTGAGCCCCATGGCCGTCTTGATGTTGAGCAGAACCGCCGCTGATGGGGGAAGTGGCGAAAACAGGGGATGGAGGGCGAGGAGAGGGAGGTAGCGATGGGCCACAGGCACGCAGAGAGCGGGACAGGGAATCGTCAAACGGATGGGTTTAAGCCTTACCGTCACCGGCATCCATGTAGAGTGTATAGCAGTTGAGCGCCACTTGAGCGCCGAAGTTCTTGACCTTGCTGGCAATAGCCGTGTCGGCGTCTGGCACGCACGGCTTGGTGCCACCGCACAGCGTGCCAGTACCATCCGTGCTGCCACATATGGCGCACGCGGTGACGGCGCGCTGGCTGCCGGCGCAGCTGCCAGTGCTGGCGAAGCAGTTGCTGCCGCTGTTGCAGAAGGACCAGGTGCCCGTGGGGATGCTTCCCACCAGATAGTTGGAGTACAGGTCCAGACTCTTCAACTTTGTGATGGCTGTGGGGACCGTGCCCGTCAGGTAGTTGAAGCGGAGCGCCCTGCAATGGGGTGGGGAGCAGACACAAGCGATAGGTGTTCAATGTTCGGGCAGTGATTGGTGGCGTGCAGGGCAGTGATTGGTCTTATGCAGGGCAGTGATTGGTCTTATGCAGGGCAGCGATTGGCTGCGTGGAGGGCAGTGATTGGACACGTTGAGACCAGTGATTGGTGGTGTGGATTTGCCTCCAGAGGGCGAAGCTCTTCTCATGCAAGCATTGTTCAAAGAAGGATGGAGGGAACGTGGAGGATGGCGAGAGGAGCCCGAAACAGAGACACCGGGAAGGGAATGAAGAGAGGGGGAGAGAGCAAAGCCTCTACATTCTGTACTTACGCATTGGTCAGGCTGGGCAGACTCATGAGTATGCTGGGGAACGAACCCGAGAAGTACATGTACTGCATGGCTCTGGCAGAGGGGAACAATGAAAGAGAAAGGGGGCGACACTTAAGAAAGGGAAATGGTTGAGAGTTGGCATGGCTCCGGCACAAGTAGAGAGAGACGAGGAAGCAGAAGGAAGGCACAACATGAGAGGGAGCGATATGAGGCACACGCGTTAACACTCGCAAGCCAGTCGGGGTCCTACTCCTCACGCAACATAGTTGGGTTCGTACCGTACTCCCATGGCCCTCAATCCCAATAGCTGCTTCCTACATGGCTTTCCAATAGCAAGCACCCACGTGGCTTTCAAAATGGCACTCACAGGGTGTTCAAGTTTGTCAGCGTAGAGAAATCCTTGAGGTAGTCTGCGAGGCTTCCATCAATGAAGTTCCACGGCATCACCCTGCGCGCGGACCAGGGAAACGCTAAGGGTCAGGCTGGACTCACATAGTGCGAGAATCATCATCAATGCACGGCCCCAAACAAGCATCCACGCACGCAGGCATGCACGCACGCATGCACGCACACATGCACGCACGCATGCACGCACGCACGAGCGCATGCAGGCACGGCTCATATGACTCCTACCAGACCTGAAGCGCACTCACACCATGGGCAGCGCACTCACACACCATGGGCAGGGGCACTCACACAAGGCCCAGCGTTGTGAGCTTGGAGATGTCTGAAGGAAAGCTCTTGCGCACAAGACCTGCGGAGTCCAGGTTTCTGCCAGTGGCCAAAGCCACACCAAGGGAAGCAACACACGGGTGAGGCAAAGCGTGCGGCGCACAACGTAGCGTACATGGAGGTCAGCCAAGGAGAGGCGGATTGCAGGCGCAGCTCACGCGCCACGCCTTCACCGCTGCACTCACATGGAGTAGAGGCGGCCGTCGGATGTGCAGCTGACACGGTCCCACTCGTTAGCGCCAGCAGCATTGCCCTCGAGGCGGCAAGGAACCGTGGTGGCCCAGTTGGTGAAGGTGAGCCCCATGGCTGTCTTGATGTTGAGCAGAGCCGCCGCTGATGGGGAAGTGGCGAAAACAGGGGAGGGAGGGCGAGGAGAGGGAGATAGCGATGTGCCACAGGCACGCAGAGAGCGGGACAGCGGAACGTCAAACGGATGGGTCTGAGACTTACCGTCGCCGGCATTCATGTAGAGCGCAGAGCAGTAGAGCGCCACCTGAGCGCCCGAGTTCTTGACCTGCCCAGAGATGCGTGCGTCTGCATCCGGTATGCACGCCCTGCCACCGCACAGCGTGCCGGCGCCGTCCGTGCTGCCGCAGATGGCGCAGTCGGTGACGGCGCGCTGAGTGCCGGCGCAGCTGCCAGTGCTGCGAAGCAGTTGCTGCCGCTGTTGCAGAAGGACCAGGTGCCCGTGGGGATGCTGCCCACCAGGTAGTTGGAGTACAGGTCCAGACTCTTGAACTTTGTGATGGCCGTGGGGACTGTGCCCGTCAGGTAGTTGAAGCGGAACGTGCTGCAGGGGTGGGGTGCACCGAAGATAGCGTTTGGCAAGGTGAACCTTCTGGAGCCCTTGGAGGGCAGTGATTGGCCGCCTCAACCTTTGCTTCCGGAAAACACTTTGGGTCGAGAGGATATGACAAAAAGCCATGCTGGTACGACCCATGGGCCTCTATTCTGTACTTACACGCTAGTAAGGCTGGGCAGGTTCATGAGCACGCTTGGAAAAGACCCCGAGAAGTACATGTACTGCATGGCCCTGGCAGAGAGGGAAACGGAAAAGCAAGGCAAGCACACCTGAGAGAGTGAAATAGGAGGAGGAGGGATTACACATACAGGCTCTCCCTGCGGCCACACTACTAACATGGCCTTCGAACCCAATACTTGATACCCACATGCATTTTGATTCGAAAACCCAATAGTCAATAATACCCTCATGCCAATCGAGTGGAGCTAAATAGCCCATAGCCATGGCACTTTCAAGTTGGCACTCACAGGGTCTTCAAGTTGGTGAGCGCCGAGAAATCCTTGAGGTAGGTCTCAAGGTTGCCATCAATGAAGTTCCACGGCATCCACCTGCACGCCGCAAAGGAAACGCTGAGGGTCAGGCTGGCACGGTCAGACCTCAGCCACACGGTTACACTTCAGCCGCACCGCCACACTTATGCTGCACGGCCGTGTGACGATCGCCAGCAACAGTGCACAACAGACTTGAAGACTCATGCCTGCACAGCTCATGCAACTCCTCCCAGCCTTGTAGCGTGGAATTGATAGAGAATTTTTGGACCACAAACACCACCAGCACAATCGCAACACGGCCAGCACAATCGCAACATGGCCACCGCAATCACACCATGGCCAGCACACTCACACCATGGCCAGCACACTCACACCATGGCCAGCACACTCACACCATGGCCAGCACACTCACACCATGGCCAGCACACTCACACCATGGCCAGCACACTCACACCATGGCCAGCACACTCACACCATGGCCAGCACACTCACACCATGGCCAGCACACTCACACCATGGCCAGCACAGTCACACCATGCCCAGCACACTTACACCATGCCCAGCCCGGTGAGGTTTGAGATGCCGGACGGGAAGCTCTTGCGCACGAGGTTCATGGAGTCCAGGTTGCTGCCCATGCACACCGCACAGATTTGGAAACGAGATGAGTGAAACAAATCCAAAGTTGCTACAATTGGAGCAAACAACCTCACCACAACGATTCCACCGGGCTTTCCGCTCAATTGGGTTCACAGCACGAGTGAACGGGTGAACGGATGCACGGGTGCACTCACATCATGAAGAGGCGGCGGTCAGCGGTGCAGCTGACGCGGTCCCACTCGCCAGCACTGGCACTGGCGCCCTCCAGGCGGCAGGGATTGGTGGTGGCCCAGTTGGTGAAGGTGAGCCCCATGGCCGTCTTGATGTTGAGCAGAACCGCCGCTGATGGGGGAAGTGGCGAAAACAGGGGATGGAGGGCGAGGAGAGGGAGGTAGCGATGGGCCACAGGCACGCAGAGAGCGGGACAGGGAATCGTCAAACGGATGGGTTTAAGCCTTACCGTCACCGGCATCCATGTAGAGTGTATAGCAGTTGAGCGCCACTTGAGCGCCGAAGTTCTTGACCTTGCTGGCAATAGCCGTGTCGGCGTCTGGCACGCACGGCTTGGTGCCACCGCACAGCGTGCCAGTACCATCCGTGCTGCCACATATGGCGCACGCGGTGACGGCGCGCTGGCTGCCGGCGCAGCTGCCAGTGCTGGCGAAGCAGTTGCTGCCGCTGTTGCAGAAGGACCAGGTGCCCGTGGGGATGCTTCCCACCAGGTAGTTGGAGTACAGGTCCAGACTCTTCAACTTTGTGATGGCTGTGGGACCGTGCCCGTCAGGTAGTTGAAGCGGAGCGCCCTGCAATGGGTGGGGAGCAGACACAAGCGATAGGTGTTCAATGTTCGGGCAGTAATTGGTGCCGTGCAGGGAATGATGGTCTTATGCAGGGCAGCGATTGGCAGTGTCGAGGGCAGTGGTTGGTGGCGTGCAGGGCAGTGATTGGTCTTATGCCGGGCAGTGATTGGTCTTATGCCGGGCAGTGATTGGTCTTATGCAGGGCAGCGATTGGCTGCGTGGAGGGCAGTGATTGGACACGTCGAGACCAGTGATTGGTGGTGTGGATTGCCTCCAGAGGGCGAAGCTCTTCTCATGCAAGCATTGTTCAAAGAAGGATGGAGGGAACGTGGAGGATGGCGAGAGAAGGAGCCCGAAACAGAGACACCGGGAAGGGAATGAAGAGAGGGGGAGAGAGCAAAGCCTCTACATTCTGTACTTACGCATTGGTCAGGCTGGGCAGACTCATGAGTATGCTGGGGAACGAACCCGAGAAGTACATGTACTGCATGGCTCTGGCAGAGGGGAACAATGAAAGAGAAAGGGGGCGACACTTAAGAGAGGGAAATGGTTGAGAGTTGGCATGGCTCCGGCACAAGTAGAGAGAGACGAGGAAGCAGAAGGAAGGCACAACATGAGAGGGAGCGATGAGGCACACGCGTTAACACTCGCAAGCCAGTCGGGGTCCTACTCCTCATGCAACATAGTTGGGTTCGTACCGTACTCCCATGGCCCTCAATCCCAATAGCTGCTTCCTACATGGCTTTCCAATAGCAAGCACCCACCTGGCTTTCAAAATGGCACTCACAGGGTGTTCAAGTTTGTCAGCGTAGAGAAATCCTTGAGGTAGTCTGCGAGGCTTCCATCAATGAAGTTCCACCGGCATCACCCTGCGCGCGGACCAGGGAAACGCTAAGGGTCAGGCTGGACTCACATAGTGCAAGAATCATCATCAATGCACGGCCCCAAACAAGCATCCACGCACGCAGGCATGCACGCACGCATGCACGCACGCACGCACGCATGCACGCACGCACGAGCGCATGCCAGGCACGGCTCATATGACTCCTACCAGACCTGAAGCGCACTCACACCATGGGCAGCGCACTCACACACCATGGGCAGGGGCACTCACACAAGGCCCAGCGTTGTGAGCTTGGAGATGTCTGAAGGGAAGCTCTTGCGCACAAGACCTGCGGAGTCCAGGTTTCTGCCAGTGGCCAAAGCCACACCAAGGGAAGCAACACACGGGTGAGGCAAAGCGTGCGGCGCACAACGTAGCGTACATGGAGGTCAGCCAAGGAGAGGCGGATTGCAGGCGCAGCTCACGCGCCACGCCTTCACCGCTGCACTCACATGGAGTAGAGGCGGCCGTCGGATGTGCAGCTGACACGGTCCCACTCGTTAGCGCCAGCAGCATTGCCCTCGAGGCGGCAAGGAACCGTGGTGGCCCAGTTGGTGAAGGTGAGCCCCATGGCCGTCTTGATGTGAGCAGAGCCGCCGCTGATGGGGGAAGTGGCGAAAACAGGGGAGGGAGGGCGAGGAGAGGGAGATAGCGATGTGCCACAGGCACGCAGAGAGCGGGACAGCGGAACGTCAAACGGATGGGTCTGAGACTTACCGTCGCCGGCATTCATGTAGAGCGCAGAGCAGTAGAGCGCCACCTGAGCGCCCCGAGTTCTTGACCTGCCAGAGATGCGTGCGTCTGCGTCCGGTATGCACGCCCTGCCACCGCACAGCGTGCCGGCGCCGTCCGTGCTGCCGCAGATGGCGCAGTCGGTGGCGGCGCGCTGAGTGCCGGCGCAGCTGCCAGTGCTGGCGAAGCAGTTGCTGCCGCTGTTGCAGAAGGACCAGGTGCCCGTGGGGATGCTGCCCACCAGGTAGTTGGAGTACAGGTCCAGACTCTTGAACTTTGTGATGGCCGTGGGACCGTGCCCGTCAGGTAGTTGAAGCGGAACGTGCTGCAGGGGTGGGGTGCACCGAAGATAGCGTTTGGCAAGGTGAACCTTCTGGGGCCTTGGAGGGCAGTGATTGGCCGCCTCAACCTTTGCTTCCGGAAGACACCTTGGGTCGAGAGGATATGACAAAAAGCCATGCTGGTACGACCCATGGGCCTCTATTCTGTACTTACACGCTAGTAAGGCTGGGCAGGTTCATGAGCACGCTTGGAAAAGACCCCGAGAAGTACATGTACTGCATGGCCCTGGCAGAGAGGGAAACGGAAAAGCAAGGCAAGCACACCTGAGAGAGTGAAATAGGAGGAGGAGGGATTACACATACAGGCCTCTCCCTGCGGCCACACTACTAACATGGCCTTCGAACCCAATACTTGATACCCACATGCATTTTGATTTGAAAACCCTATAGTCAATAATACCCTCATGCCAATCGAGTGGAGCTAAATAGCTCATAGCCATGGCACTTTCAAGTTGGCCACTCACAGAGTCTTCAAGTTGGTGAGCGCCGAGAAATCCTTGAGGTAGGTCTCAAGGTTGCCATCAATGAAGTTCCACGGCATCCACCTGCACGCCGCAAAGGAAACGCTGAGGGTCAGGCTGGCACGGTCAGACCTCAGCCACACGGTCACACTTCAGCCGCACCGCCACACTTATGCTGCACGGCCGTCTGACGATCGCCGGCGACAGGTGCACAACAGACTTGAAGACTCATGCCTGCACAGCTCATACAACTCCTCCCAGCCTTGTAGCGTGGAATTGATAGAGAATTTTTGGACCACAAACACCACCAGCACAATCGCAACATGGCCAGCGCAATCACAACATGGCCAGCGCACTCACACCATGGCCAGCGCACTCACACCATGGCCAGCACACACTCAACACCATGCCAGCACACTCACACCATGCGCCAGCACACTCACACCATGGCCCAGCACACTCACACCATGGCCAGCACACTCACACCATGGCCAGCACACTCACACCATGCCCAGCACACTTACGCCATGCCCAGCCCGGTGAGGTTGGAGATGTCGGACGGGAAGCTCTTGCGCACGAGGTTCATGGAGTCCAGGTTGCTGCCCATGCGCACCGCACAGATTTGGAAACGAGATGAGTGAAACAAATCCAAAGTTGCTACAATTGGAGCAAACAACCTCACCACCACGATTCCACCGGGCTTTCCGCTCCATTGGGTTCACAGCAACGAGTGAACGGGTGAACGATGCACGGGTGCACTCACATCATGAAGAGGCGGCGGTCAGCGGTGCAGCTGACGGGTCCCACTCGCCAGCACTGGCACTGGCGCCCTCCAGGCGGCAGGGATTGGTGGTGGCCCAGTTGGTGAAGGTGAGCCCCATGGCCGTCTTGATGTTGAGCAGAACCGCCGCTGATGGGGGAAGTGGCGAAAACAGGGGATGGAGGGCGAGGAGAGGGAGGTAGCGATGGCCACAGGCACGCAGAGAGCGGGACAGGGAATCGTCAAACGGATGGGTTTAAGCCTTACCGTCACCGGCATCCATGTAGAGTGTATAGCAGTTGAGCGCCACTTGAGCGCCGAAGTTCTTGACCTTGCTGGCAATAGCCGTGTCGGCGTCTGGCACGCACGGCTTGGTGCCACCGCACAGCGTGCCAGTACCATCCGTGCTGCCACATATGGCGCACGCGGTGACGGCGCGCTGGCTGCCGGCGCAGCTGCCAGTGCTGGCGAAGCAGTTGCTGCCGCTGTTGCAGAAGGACCAGGTGCCCGTGGGGATGCTTCCCACCAGATAGTTGGAGTACAGGTCCAGACTCTTCAACTTTGTGATGGCTGTGGGGACCGTTGCCGTCAGGTAGTTGAAGCGGAGCGCCCTGCAATGGGGTGGGGAGCAGACACAAGCGATAGGTGTTCAATGTTCGGGCAGTAATTGGTGGCGTGCAGGGCAGTGATTGGTCTTATGCAGGGCAGTGATTGGTCTTATGCAGGGCAGCGATTGGCTGCGTGGAGGGCAGTGATTGGACACGTTGAGACCAGTGATTGGTGGTGTGGATTTGCCTCCAGAGGGCGAAGCTCTTCTCATGCAAGCATTGTTCAAAGAAGGATGGAGGGAACGTGGAGGATGGCGAGAGGAGCCCGAAACAGAGACACCGGGAGGGAATGAAGAGAGGGGGAGAGAGCAAAGCCTCTACATTCTGTACTTACGCATTGGTCAGGCTGGGCAGACTCATGAGTATGCTGGGGAACGAACCCGAGAAGTACATGTACTGCATGGCTCTGGCAGAGGGGAACAATGAAAGAGAAAGGGGGCGACACTTAAGAAAGGGAAATGGTTGAGAGTTGGCATGGCTCCGGCACAAGTAGAGAGAGACGAGGAAGCAGAAGGAAGGCACAACATGAGAGGGAGCGATATGAGGCACACGCGTTAACACTCGCAAGCCAGTCGGGGTCCCTACTCCTCACGCAACATAGTTGGGTTCGTACCGTACTCCCATGGCCCTCAATCCCAATAGCTGCTTCCTACATGGCTTTCCAATAGCAAGCACCCACGTGGCTTTCAAAATGGCACTCACAGGGTGTTCAAGTTTGTCAGCGTAGAGAAATCCTTGAGGTAGTCTGCGAGGCTTCCATCAATGAAGTTCCACGGCATCACCCTGCGCGCGGACCAGGGAAACGCTAAGGGTCAGGCTGGACTCACATAGTGCGAGAATCATCATCAATGCACGGCCCCAAAACAAGCATCCACGCACGCAGGCATGCACGCACGCATGCACGCACACATGCACGCACGCATGCACGCACGCACGAGCGCATGCAGGCACGGCTCATATGACTCCTACCAGACTGAAGCGCACTCACACCATGGGCAGCGCACTCACACACCATGGGCAGGGGCACTCACACAAGGCCCAGCGTTGTGAGCTTGGAGATGTCTGAAGGAAAGCTCTTGCGCACAAGACCTGCGGAGTCCAGGTTTCTGCCAGTGGCCAAAGCCACACCAAGGGAAGCAACACACGGGTGAGGCAAAGCGTGCGGCGCACAACGTAGCGTACATGGAGGTCAGCCAAGGAGAGGCGGATTGCAGGCGCAGCTCACGCGCCACGCCTTCACCGCTGCACTCACATGGAGTAGAGGCGGCCGTCGGATGTGCAGCTGACACGGTCCCACTCGTTAGCGCCAGCAGCATTGCCCTCGAGGCGGCAAGGAACCGTGGTGGCCCAGTTGGTGAAGGTGAGCCCCATGGCTGTCTTGATGTTGAGCAGAGCCGCCGCTGATGGGGAAGTGGCGAAAACAGGGAGGGAGGGCGAGGAGAGGGAGATAGCGATGTGCCACAGGCACGCAGAGAGCGGGACAGCGGAACGTCAAACGGATGGGTCTGAGACTTACCGTCGCCGGCATTCATGTAGAGCGCAGAGCAGTAGAGCGCCACCTGAGCGCCCGAGTTCTTGACCTGCCCAGAGATGCGTGCGTCTGCATCCGGTATGCACGCCCTGCCACCGCACAGCGTGCCGGCGCCGTCCGTGCTGCCGCAGATGGCGCAGTCGGTGACGGCGCGCTGAGTGCCGGCGCAGCTGCCAGTGCTGGCGAAGCAGTTGCTGCCGCTGTTGCAGAAGGACCAGGTGCCCGTGGGATGCTGCCCACCAGGTAGTTGGAGTACAGGTCCAGACTCTTGAACTTTGTGATGGCCGTGGGGACTGTGCCCGTCAGGTAGTTGAAGCGGAACGTGCTGCAGGGGTGGGGTGCACCGAAGATAGCGTTTGGCAAGGTGAACCTTCTGGAGCCCTTGGAGGGCAGTGATTGGCCGCCTCAACCTTTGCTTCCGGAAAACACTTTGGGTCGAGAGGATATGACAAAAAGCCATGCTGGTACGACCCATGGGCCTCTATTCTGTACTTACACGCTAGTAAGGCTGGGCAGGTTCATGAGCACGCTTGGAAAAGACCCCGAGAAGTACATGTACTGCATGGCCCTGGCAGAGAGGGAAACGGAAAAGCCAGGCAAGCACACCTGAGAGAGTGAAATAGGAGGAGGAGGGATTACACATACAGGCTCTCCCTGCGGCCACACTACTAACATGGCCTTCGAACCCAATACTTGATACCCACATGCATTTTGATTCGAAAACCCAATAGTCAATAATACCCTCATGCCAATCGAGTGGAGCTAAATAGCCCATAGCCATGGCACTTTCAAGTTGGCACTCACAGGGTCTTCAAGTTGGTGAGCGCCGAGAAATCCTTGAGGTAGGTCTCAAGGTTGCCATCAATGAAGTTCCACGGCATCCACCTGCACGCCGCAAAGGAAACGCTGAGGGTCAGGCTGGCACGGTCAGACCTCAGCCACACGGTTACACTTCAGCCGCACCGCCACACTTATGCTGCACGGCCGTGTGACGATCGCCAGCAACACGTCCACAACAGACTTGAAGACTCATGCCTGCACAGCTCATGCAACTCCTCCCAGCCTTGTAGCGTGGAATTGATAGAGAATTTTTGGACCACAAACACCACCAGCACAATCGCAACACGGCCAGCACAATCGCAACATGGCCACCGCAATCACACCATGGCCAGCACACTCACACCATGGCCAGCACACTCACACCATGGCCAGCACACTCACACCATGGCCAGCACACTCACACCATGGCCAGCACACTCACACCATGGCCAGCACACTCACACCATGGCCAGCACACTCACACCATGGCCAGCACACTCACACCATGGCCAGCACACTCACACCATGGCCAGCACACTCACACCATGCCCAGCACACTTACACCATGCCCAGCCCGGTGAGGTTTGAGATGCCGGACGGGAAGCTCTTGCGCACGAGGTTCATGGAGTCCAGGTTGCTGCCCATGCACACCGCACAGATTTGGAAACGAGATGAGTGAAACAAATCCAAAGTTGCTACAATTGGAGCAAACAACCTCACCACAACGATTCCACCGGGCTTTCCGCTCAATTGGGTTCACAGCACGAGTGAACGGGTGAACGGATGCACGGGTGCACTCACATCATGAAGAGGCGGCGGTCAGCGGTGCAGCTGACGCGGTCCCACTCGCCAGCACTGGCACTGGCGCCCTCCAGGCGGCAGGGATTGGTGGTGGCCCAGTTGGTGAAGGTGAGCCCATGGCCGTCTTGATGTTGAGCAGAACCGCCGCTGATGGGGGAAGTGGCGAAAACAGGGGATGGAGGGCGAGGAGAGGGAGGTAGCGATGGGCCACAGGCACGCAGAGAGCGGGACAGGGAATCGTCAAACGGATGGGTTTAAGCCTTACCGTCACCGGCATCCATGTAGAGTGTATAGCAGTTGAGCGCCACTTGAGCGCCGAAGTTCTTGACCTTGCTGGCAATAGCCGTGTCGGCGTCTGGCACGCACGGCTTGGTGCCACCGCACAGCGTGCCAGTACCATCCGTGCTGCCACATATGGCGCACGCGGTGACGGCGCGCTGGCTGCCGGCGCAGCTGCCAGTGCTGGCGAAGCAGTTGCTGCCGCTGTTGCAGAAGGACCAGGTGCCCGTGGGGATGCTTCCCACCAGGTAGTTGGAGTACAGGTCCAGACTCTTCAACTTTGTGATGGCTGTGGGGACCGTGCCCGTCAGGTAGTTGAAGCGGAGCGCCCTGCAATGGGGTGGGGAGCAGACACAAGCGATAGGTGTTCAATGTTCGGGCAGTAATTGGTGCCGTGCAGGGGAATGATTGGTCTTATGCAGGGCAGCGATTGGCAGTGTCGAGGGCAGTGGTTGGTGGCGTGCAGGGCAGTGATTGGTCTTATGCCGGGCAGTGATTGGTCTTATGCCGGGCAGTGATTGGTCTTATGCAGGGCAGCGATTGGCTGCGTGGAGGGCAGTGATTGGACACGTCGAGACCAGTGATTGGTGGTGTGGATTTGCCTCCAGAGGGCGAAGCTCTTCTCATGCAAGCATTGTTCAAAGAAGGATGGAGGGAACGTGGAGGATGGCGAGAGAAGGAGCCCGAAACAGAGACACCGGGAAGGGAATGAAGAGAGGGGGAGAGAGCAAAGCCTCTACATTCTGTACTTACGCATTGGTCAGGCTGGGCAGACTCATGAGTATGCTGGGGAACGAACCCGAGAAGTACATGTACTGCATGGCTCTGGCAGAGGGGAACAATGAAAGAGAAAGGGGCGACACTTAAGAGAGGGAAATGGTTGAGAGTTGGCATGGCTCCGGCACAAGTAGAGAGAGACGAGGAAGCAGAAGGAAGGCACAACATGAGAGGGAGCGATGAGGCACACGCGTTAACACTCGCAAGCCAGTCGGGGTCCTACTCCTCATGCAACATAGTTGGGTTCGTACCGTACTCCCATGGCCCTCAATCCCAATAGCTGCTTCCTACATGGCTTTCCAATAGCAAGCACCCACCTGGCTTTCAAAATGGCACTCACAGGGTGTTCAAGTTTGTCAGCGTAGAGAAATCCTTGAGGTAGTCTGCGAGGCTTCCATCAATGAAGTTCCACGGCATCACCCTGCGCGCGGACCAGGGAAACGCTAAGGGTCAGGCTGGACTCACATAGTGCGAGAATCATCATCAATGCACGGCCCCAAACAAGCATCCACGCACGCAGGCATGCACGCACGCATGCACGCACACATGCACGCACGCATGCACGCACGCACGAGCGCATGCAGGCACGGCTCATTTGACTCCTACCAGACCTGAAGCGCACTCACACCATGGGCAGCGCACTCACACACCATGGGCAGGGGCACTCACACAAGGCCCAGCGTTGTGAGCTTGGAGATGTCTGAAGGGAAGCTCTTGCGCACAAGACCTGCGGAGTCCAGGTTTCTGCCAGTGGCCAAAGCCACACCAAGGGAAGCAACACACGGGTGAGGCAAAGCGTGCGGCGCACAACGTAGCGTACATGGAGGTCAGCCAAGGAGAGGCGGATTGCAGGCGCAGCTCACGCGCCACGCCTTTACCGCTGCACTCACATGGAGTAGAGGCGGCCGTCGGATGTGCAGCTGACACGGTCCCACTCGTTAGCGCCAGCAGCATTGCCCTCGAGGCGGCAAGGAACCGTGGTAGCCCAGTTGGTGAAGGTGAGCCCCATGGCCGTCTTGATGTTGAGCAGAGCCGCCGCTGATGGGGGAAGTGGCGAAAACAGGGGAGGGAGGGCGAGGAGAGGGAGATAGCGATGTGCCACAGGCACGCAGAGAGCGGGACAGCGGAACGTCAAACGGATGGGTCTGAGACTTACCGTCGCCGGCATTCATGTAGAGCGCAGAGCAGTAGAGCGCCACCTGAGCGCCCGAGTTCTTGACCTGCCCAGAGATGCGTGCGTCTGCGTCCGGTATGCACGCCCTGCCACCGCACAGCGTGCCGGCGCCGTCCGTGCTGCCGCAGATGGCGCAGTCGGTGGCGGCGCGCTGAGTGCCGGCGCAGCTGCCAGTGCTGGCGAAGCAGTTGCTGCCGCTGTTGCAGAAGGACCAGGTGCCCGTGGGGATGCTGCCCACCAGGTAGTTGGAGTACAGGTCCAGACTCTTGAACTTTGTGATGGCCGTGGGGACCGTGCCCGTCAGGTAGTTGAAGCGGAACGTGCTGCAGGGGTGGGGTGCACCGAAGATAGCGTTTGGCAAGGTGAACCTTCTGGGGCCCTTGGAGGGCAGTGATTGGCCGCCTCAACCTTTGCTTCCGGAAGACACCTTGGGTCGAGAGGATATGACAAAAAGCCATGCTGGTACGACCCATGGGCCTCTATTCTGTACTTACACGCTAGTAAGGCTGGGCAGGTTCATGAGCACGCTTGGAAAAGACCCCGAGAAGTACATGTACTGCATGGCCCTGGCAGAGAGGGAAACGGAAATGCGAGGCAAGCACACCTGAGAGAGTGAAATAGGAGGAGGAGGGATTACACATACAGGCTCTCCCTGCGGCCACACTACTAACATGGCCTTCGAACCCAATACTTGATACCCACATGCATTTTGATTTGAAAACCCAATAGTCAATAATACCCTCATGCCAATCGAGTGGAGCTAAATAGCTCATAGCCATGGCACTTTCAAGTTGGCACTCACAGGGTCTTCAAGTTGGTGAGCGCCGAGAAATCCTTGAGGTAGGTCTCAAGGTTGCCATCAATGAAGTTCCACGGCATCCACCTGCACACCGCAAAGGAAACGCTGAGGGTCAGGCTGGCACGGTCAGACCTCAGCCACACGGTCACACTTCAGCCGCACCGCCACACTTATGCTGCACGGCCGTGTGACGATCGCCGGCGACAGGTGCACAACAGACTTGAACACTCATGCCTGCACAGCTCATGCAACTCCTCCCAGCCTTGTAGCGTGGAATTGATAGAGAATTTTTGGACCACAAACACCACCAGCACAATCGCAACATGGCCAGCGCAATCGCAACATGGCCAGCGCACTCACACCATGGCCAGCGCACTCACACCATGGCCAGCACACTCACACCATGGCCACACACTCACACCATGGCCAGCACACTCACACCATGGCCAGCACACTCACACCATGGCCAGCACACTCACACCATGGCCAGCACACTCACACCATGGCCAGCGCACTCACACCATGGCCAGCACACTCACACCATGGCCAGCACACTCACACCATGGCCAGCACACTCACACCATGGCCAGCACACTCACACCATGCCCAGCACACTTACACCATGCCCAGCCCGGTGAGGTTGGAGATGTCGGACGGGAAGCTCTTGCGCACGAGGTTCATGGAGTCCAGGTTGCTGCCCATGCGCACCGCACAGATTTGGAAACGAGATGAGTGAAACAAATCCAAAGTTGCTACAATTGGAGCAAACAACCTCACCACAACGATTCCACCGGGCTTTCCGCTCAATTGGGTTCACAGCACGAGTGAACGGGTGAACGGATGCACGGGTGCACTCACATCATGAAGAGGCGGCGGTCAGCGGTGCAGCTGACGCGGTCCCACTCGCCAGCACTGGCACTGGCGCCCTCCAGGCGGCAGGGATTGGTGGTGGCCCAGTTGGTGAAGGTGAGCCCCATGGCCGTCTTGATGTTGAGCAGAACCGCCGCTGATGGGGGAAGTGGCGAAAACAGGGGATGGAGGGCGAGGAGAGGGAGGTAGCGATGGGCCACAGGCACGCAGAGAGCGGGACAGGGAATCGTCAAACGGATGGGTTTAAGCCTTACCGTCACCGGCATCCATGTAGAGTGTATAGCAGTTGAGCGCCACTTGAGCGCCGAAGTTCTTGACCTTGCTGGCAATAGCCGTGTCGGCGTCTGGCACGCACGGCTTGGTGCCACCGCACAGCGTGCCAGTACCATCCGTGCTGCCACATATGGCGCACGCGGTGACGGCGCGCTGGCTGCCGGCGCAGCTGCCAGTGCTGGCGAAGCAGTTGCTGCCGCTGTTGCAGAAGGACCAGGTGCCCGTGGGGATGCTTCCCACCAGGTAGTTGGAGTACAGGTCCAGACTCTTCAACTTTGTGATGGCTGTGGGGACCGTGCCCGTCAGGTAGTTGAAGCGGAGCGCCCTGCAATGGGGTGGGGAGCACAGACACAAGCGATAGGTGTTCAATGTTCGGGCAGTGATTGGTGGCGTGCAGGGCAGTGATTGGTCTTATGCAGGGCAGCGATTGGCAGTGTCGAGGGCAGTGGTTGGTGGCGTGCAGGGCAGTGATTGGTCTTATGCCGGGCAGTGATTGGTCTTATGCCGGGCAGTGATTGGTCTTATGCAGGGCAGCGATTGGCTGCGTGGAGGGCAGTGATTGGACACGTCGAGACCAGTGATTGGTGGTGTGGATTTGCCTCCAGAGGGCGAAGCTCTTCTCATGCAAGCATTGTTCAAAGAAGGATGGAGGGAACGTGGAGGATGGCGAGAGAAGGAGCCCGAAACAGAGACACCGGGAAGGGAATGAAGAGAGGGGGAGAGAGCAAAGCCTCTACATTCTGTACTTACGCATTGGTCAGGCTGGGCAGACTCATGAGTATGCTGGGGAACGAACCCGAGAAGTACATGTACTGCATGGCTCTGGCAGAGGGGAACAATGAAAGAGAAAGGGGGCGACACTTAAGAGAGGGAAATGGTTGAGAGTTGGCATGGCTCCGGCACAAGTAGAGAGAGACGAGGAAGCAGAAGGAAGGCACAACATGAGAGGGAGCGATATGAGGCACACGCATTAACACTCGCAAGCCAGTCGGGGTCCTACTCCTCACGCAACATAGTTGGGTTCGTACCATACTCCCATGGCCCTCAATCCCAATAGCTGCTTCCTACATGGCTTTCCAGTAGCAAGCACCCACGTGGCTTTCAAAATGGCACTCACAGGGTGTTCAAGTTTGTCAGCGTAGAGAAATCCTTGAGGTAGTCTGCGAGGCTTCCATCAATGAAGTTCCACGGCATCACCCTGCGCACGGACCAGGGAAACGCTAAGGGTCAGGCTGGACTCACATAGTGCGAGAATCATCACCAATGCACGGCCCCAAACAAGCATCCACGCACGCAGGCATGCACGCAGGCATGCACGCACGCACGAGCGCATGCAGGCACGGCTCATTTGACTCCTACCAGACCTGAAGCGCACTCACACCATGGGCAGCGCACTCACACACCATGGGCAGGGGCACTCACACAAGGCCCAGCGTTGTGAGCTTGGAGATGTCTGAAGGGAAGCTCTTGCGCACAAGACCTGCGGAGTCCAGGTTTCTGCCAGTGGCCAAAGCCACACCAAGGGAAGCAACACACGGGTGAGGCAAAGCGTGCGGCGCACAACGTAGCGTACATGGAGGTCAGCCAAGGAGAGGCGGATTGCAGGCGCAGCTCACGCGCCACGCCTTCACCGCTGCACTCACATGGAGTAGAGGCGGCCGTCGGATGTGCAGCTGACACGGTCCCACTCGTTAGCGCCAGCAGCATTGCCCTCGAGGCGGCAAGGAACCGTGGTGGCCCAGTTGGTGAAGGTGAGCCCCATGGCCGTCTTGATGTTGAGCAGAGCCGCCGCTGATGGGGGAAGTGGCGAAAACAGGGGAGGGAGGGCGAGGAGGGAGATAGCGATGGGCCACAGACACGCAGAGAGCGGGACAGCGGAACGTCAAACGGATGGGTCTGAGACTCACCGTCGCCGGCATTCATGTAGAGCGCAGAGCAGTAGAGCGCCACCTGAGCGCCGTAGTTATTTACTTTGCTGGCAATAGCCGTGTCGGCGTCTGGCACGCACAGCTTGGTGCCACCACACAGCGTGCCAGTGCCATCCGTGCTGCCGCATATGGCGCACGCGGTGACGGCGCGCTGGCTGCCGGCGCAGCTGCTAGTGCTGGCGAAGCAGTTGCTTCCGCTGTTGCAGAAGGACCAGGTGCCCGTGGGGATGCTGCCCACAAGGTAGTTGGAGTACAGGTCCAGACTCTTGATCTTCGTGATGGCCGTGGGGACCGTGCCCGTCAGGTAGTTGAAGCGGAGCGCCCTGCAATGGGGTGGGGAGCACCGATGATAGCGTTTGGCAAAGTGAACCTTCTGGGGCCCTTGGAGGGCAGTGATTGGCCGCCCGGAGTTTAGATTCCAGAAGACCTTCAGGGTCGTGAGGATATGACGAAAAGCGATACTGGAGCTATCAGAGGTACAGGTGATATTGCGAATCTTACAACGCAGTGAGGCTCGGTAGGTTGATGAAGACAGATGGAAACGATCCCGAGAAGTACATGTACTGCATGGCTCTGCAAAGGCAAAGCACAGCTCCGTCGGAGTACTGAGGAGCGATGAGTACTTCCATATCAAGCAATTGGACCGCAATCGTTGTGATGGAAAGGCATTGTTATGGCGTGAGGGTATTACAGGAAACCAGGTCATTCCGGTGTCGTGAAAGATCCAACCGACTTCGGACTTACACCACTTGCAGGTTGGTGAGCACCGAGAAATACTTGACGTAAGTCCCAAGGTTTCCGTCCAGAAAATTCCATGGCATCGCCCTGCCGTGGGGAAGGAGGCAATGCGACATACTTCAGCTGGGCGATTTTTTAGTCATGAGGGTTTTTCTTGAGAATCAGCCATCGTTGTGCAACGCCCTGCGCTGTGAATGGCAACTGCCAGTTGTACCAGAAAATCAATGTTACACCAACCGGAGTTCAACGTTCAGAAAGCCTTCAGCCTGTTTCTGCATGTTAGCAACAGGTGGCAAGCAGCGCAGCTCCTACTTGGTACAGGAAGCAGAGGGCATGCCGTGGAATCCAAGTACTTACACCGATGTCAATCCTAGGAGCTTGGCGATGTCACTGGGAAAGTCCTTACGAACAAGGCCCGCCGAGTCGAGGTTTCTGCCACATGGAACAAAAAGAGCCACCGCTCATGCCAGCCATGAGATATGGCTTCAGCGGTAGGAGGAACACCCTAAGCATATCACGCTTGGCATTTGAAGGGGGTTGCAAGCAATCAGTCAGGCAGAGCTGCTTACAAGTCAACTACATCCCCAGCGGTGGAACAGAGCAACCGAACCCAATCGCCGGCAACAGCGGTGCCGGTGTTGCAATTGGGAGTGGCGGAATCCCAGGAGTACGTCAGACCCATAGCGGACTTTATGGCCAGCAGAGCTTGCACTGTAACAGCCGCCGGGAGAGAAGGGAACGGGCATGGGGGACAGTGGAACGAAAGGACTCGGAGTTGGGAAAGTAACTTCGCTAGAACGGGTTTAGCAAGACTGGTAGACGAGGGGGGTCTAGGGCGGGAAGGGCCGTCTAGGGTTCCGACCTTGATCGGCTTTTATCGTCGCAGAAGCTGCGGCGACGTGCAACTGAGTGGACAGTAGTAGTACTACTACGAGCACGACCACAGCCGCGACGAGGCTCAGATGCCCCGGGGTCGTCATGGCGACCGCGCCTTCTTCCCCCTACCAGAGGAAGACTGCGTACTGGATCTCTGGTGCTAGCACCCACACACCAGGTTCCTTACAAGTTCTACTAGAGTGAGGGGGCAGAAAAGCTTGTGAGATAAGGCAAACCCTACCAGAATGGAAGCTGCTATGACTTCTCGTCCGCAAAATGCAACAGAGCTTCCCAGTCTCGAGGTGAAGGCTGTTGTGGAGGGAGGCGGATTGCTGGGCGATCTCGGTGGTAGGGACTCGGGACTTGGGTCGGGAGGGACATGAACGTGATGTTCCGCAGCATATCTGACAGCCCGATCCTGTCAATGCGGGAGTCCTGATATTTTTTCAAGCTGCCCTGTGTACTTGACTCCGGTCAGTGTTCTACTAGAACACTAGTAATAGCACTTGAGCAAGCCCCAGCACAAGAATGCTAAGACAGGTTATTATATGGGAGGTTAACAGCAGAGGGCTTGGGCGTGCAGATTGTTTTAGAGCCTCTGGACAGACGACGACAAACTTTACAGGCTCTCGCAGACAAAGTAATTTCTTCAATCTGCACCAGCACTTTAAAGAACGCGCTCCCCTTGACTATCCTGCCACTGCTTGCGGCTCGCAAACCGAAAGTCATGCTTGAACGCGGAATTACTACACTTGTTATCCTCTATTGTCTCGTCCGTAACAGTTGAAATTCTAATCCCACCTACCATGTTCTCAGCATGACTCGCGTTGCCACTGAATCTGATTGGCTGCAGTATTTACGATGGCGAACAGTCAAGTCGTATTTCGACAATTGCGAGAATCCGAGTTGGGAAGTCGCGCCAGTGGATGATCTAGTGCATGAGCGAGAATTTGTAGCCAGGAGACAATCCTTACAATTGGATTTCCCCTTCAATGTCCCGTCTGCCCGGGTATAACTGTTTCCTGCTTACAGGCTCAAGCCGCATGCCGAATCCGCGCAGCCCAAAAGAAACAGAGGTGTACAATAGAAGTGCGAGAGAATCACTCAGCCTTTCCGAATCATGTAGGAATGTCGAGCTCCTCATCTCACATACTGTACATGCTTCGCCACGGGTAGATGGGACGGAAAGGTGCTAACTGTAACCGGATATAAAAGAAGATGCTCTTGGGGCCCATTTGTAGGGTCCTTTCGTTCCGTGCTCCATAAACTTGTGGTTTCGTTATCCGGTCAAGAAACCCCCTGCACGTGGCTTAAAGCCCGCGGCCAAAATTGTTCATACGCACTGCGTATGAACTGTGAGCCTCAGCTTGGACGAAATACAGAGTTAAATCGTGAGGGTGTTTCATCTCGCGAATTCGCAATTCGTCGTAGATCGTCCGATTTGCAAGCAGGTAGTGCAACGGCTGAGATTACATTTCGATTTACTGGGGGAAGCACTTGACCTGCGCGCCGTCAGATGGAAATCCCTAAATATTGGACGGCTAAAAAACACGAGGCACTGGGTGTCCCAAAATACGTTCTGCACTGAACTTGAAAGCCAGCCCCGAGTGACGCGAGTCACGTTACTGTTGAGTGACCCGCTGGGGTTGCCCTTGAGATCCTCGGGGAAGGGCCACAGGTGCAGAGCCTGGGGGGCTATGGGCGCACTTACCCGCTATTCAATAAGCCCTTTTAACCCAGTGGTTAGTGACTGGGTTTCTGACATGGTACATCAGAGCCAAAGGTCTTGGGTTCAACTCCCAGTGCCAGCGCTGCAGAGGCGCTTGTGTCTTCCACCTATCCCAGCGGGGGGGGGGGTGTTGAGTGACCCGCTGGGGTTGCCCTTGAGATCCTCGGGGAAGGGCCACAGGTGCAGAGCCTGGGGGGCTATGGGCGCACTTACCCGCTATTCAATAAGCCCTTTTAACCCAGTGGTTAGTGACTGGGTTTCTGACAGTTACCCCCAACTTCACCCACGAAAACGTGACTTTCAAACGCAGTGCGTTTGAAGGCCGCGCCTTGCAATTTGGGCCGCGGGCTTTAACGTGTGGCATAAAATGAAACTCTATTTTCCCTTAAAGCCCGCAGTCAGGTTTGTCCAAAAATTGGGGTTTGTTAAAGCCCCCATCTCATAATTACCAGAGTTTAACACTTGGTTGAGACAGACAGGCACTGATTGGTACGCGAGGTGTAAACAAAACTACGAAAACGAAACTCACGTGGCGAGGCCGTTTTGTTTCGAAAAAAAACTCCAAACCAAGAAACAGGTTTGGGGAAAATTGGGACGCATCAGGTTTAGCACATCGGACGGTGCAAACTCCATTTTTTTGCGCAACAACTTTCTACTTCGTTTATAGCCGTCGATTCAAACTCCTAGTCACAACCGTCAGATCAAAGGCTTCTCGATGATCTAACGGTGCAGCAGGACCGTTCTTCCGTAAACTTGCGGATTCTCATATTGCTGGACTAGTTTTACGATTGGTATTCCCCCCCCCCCCTAGCACAGCACACTGTCCGAGGCATTTCCAAGCCTGTCGCTTCAAATTCGCCAGCGTAACTGGGTACCAAATATTTAACACTTGCTCGCTTCGTAGAATTATGAGAGTGGGGCTTTAAAGCCCGACCGGCAGGTTGCATATGAAGTAAATCGTCGTGTGTTGTAATAGACTAAGTATAAAAGGTGTTGTAATAGACTAAGTATAAAACTATAAACACGAACACTTGGCAAATCCTCAAGTGTTGGTCCAGGATCTTTGCTGGAATGGTAGACTAGTAAGACATCGGAAGTCTTGAAAAATATAAAGGTCAAGGTTGAATAACCTGAGTACGTGAACTTGTGAGTAATCAAAGTTAATAATGAAAATACCTAACCGAGATTTATAGTTCTAGGAAAAGTACCTATTTGCTATTGTACATGTTCGTCACTATCGCGTTATGCACCCTAGATGATATTGAAGAGGTGAGACTGTTCGCGTGACTGAAACGACTGTCCTATGACGAGCGCTATTTGCTGACATCATCCTACGGACTTATCTTCTACAGTAGGATTCGGCACTAACTACACATAATCGACTTACACAAATGCTAAGTACCAATTATACAGTGGCGGAATAAATTGTCCACATGTTCAGCCTTTTTTGGCATTTTGATGAGTGCAGCGGCGTAAACATTAAGCCTTAATGTATGGTGTGCATACACGCTGAGAAGTTCAGTTACAGCGCACACTCGAGTTGACAAACAACAAAGTAGTACCACACATGGTCCTTAAACACCTAAGCATAGCATAGGAGAACATGTGGACAATTTGTACCGGAAAAAGGTATCATACTAGATTCTAGGAAAACTAGTACCTAGTCCAGCGTCCCTTTGCCCGAATCACTGCCTTGATCCTCCTCGGCAGGCTGTCGATCAGGTTTGCACACACCTCCGCCGGTATCTTATCCCATTCCTCCTGCACCCTCTCCCACAGCTCCAGCATTCCCCTTGGCGGCTTTTCGTACTTCCCCAGCTGCCTTTTCAAGTATGCCCACAGGTGCTCAATCGGGTTAAGGTCCGGGGAGCACGACGGCCATTCCAGCACCGCGTACTCCTGCTCCCCAAGCCAATCTTGGACCAGACGAGACCTGTGCTTGGGATCATTGTCGTGCTGGAAAATGACCTCTGAGGGGGAAAACTCGAAAAAATCGATGGTCTGTTTGAGCTCATCTTGCAAGATGCTGCGATACAGCGGCCCATCCATCCTGCCATCTATCTTGCACATGAACCCCGCCCCCTCATACGTCATGCAACCCCACACCATCACAGAACCGCCCCCATGCTTAACTGTCTGTTGGACTTGGTGGCTCCGAAGGCTGGTGCCCTCGTGAATCCAGGCGTACGCACGTCCGTCGGAGCAGTAGTGGTTTATCTTTGTCTCGTCAGACCAAATCACCCGCTTCCAGTCCTCCAGCGTCCAGTCGGCATGCGACCGCGCGAAGTCGAGACGATCTCGGATATTTTTCGGTGAGAGCCTGGGTTTCTTGGGCTGATGCACGGCGATCAGCCCCGCGGATCGTAATGAGTTCCGGACCGTCTTCGAGTCTACGGCGAGACCGTGCTTCTCCAACAACATATTTGCCGCTTCTACAGAGCTTTTTGCCTCGCCGCTTGTAATCGCGCGTACTATTCCGCGCTGGAGACGGGTAGTGATTAAGCGGGGGCGGCCGGCCGAAGGCATCGTAGGTCGCACCTCCTCGAGACTAGTCTCGGCAGCCACTTTCAAACTGTAATCGTGCACAGTGCTCTTGCCTATTCCAAGAACTTTGCCTATTTTCCTAGTCGAATGGCCCGCACGCAACATGCTTCTGATTCGCGCGCGTTTCCGCTCAGTTAACGGCTTCATGGCGATGCGGTCGTAGGCTCGCTTCCGGACTAACTCTTAAGCCAGAAACTATTGCGCGTTACGATGTACACACTGAGTGACGGGGGAAAATAGATCTACTCTTCCGCTCGGTTGGAAATGTCCGCATCGACTGTCGAGGAGTAAATTTCAACCCCACTTTCAGGTTGTGACACAATTGCGCCAAGCAAGAAACGGTTGAAGCAGAACTCGGAAACCTTGTAACGGAATGGAAAAAACCGGGTGTTACTATTTTCGAAACATGTGTGGCATAGCGTGCTGTTTCAAAGTGCTAAACATCCGGGCAATTTAATCCGCCACTGTATCACAACACTCCCCTTCATTTCTGGAACGTCGATAGTGTCACTTCTTGAAGATTCCACAGAGCTTGTTACAGTACTGAAACTTCTGTCATGTCAGCTTCTTCGTGAGAAAATCGGCAGCCATTTCGTTGGTCGAACAGTAGACCAATCGCATCCTCCCCTTCTCGACTTCATCTTTGACGAAGAAATAACGAAGCGAAATATGCTTCGTTCTGTTGACAAAACCAGGTTGATGTGCGATGCGAATTGCACTTTGATTGTCGCACTGTAGGGTAAACTAGGTAGTTGTCGTCAACTTCGCTTCTTCCAGCAGTTCCTGTAAGTAAAGTCCTTCCCGTGTTGCTGTGCAGACAGCAATAAACTCGGCTTCAGCAGAGGAGAGTGCAATTAGCTCCTGCTTCGTAGAATTCCAAGAGATAGGTCCGATAGGTTCCAGTCGATAGATGAACCCAGTGCGCGACCATCGATTAGTAGAATCAGCAGCGTGATCGGCGTCGACAAAACCATGTAGATAGAGTGTTTTACAGCTGATGACGTTGTAGACTAATCCGACGTCAGGTGTCGAGATAAAATACTGAAGCGCACGAAGTAGATCAAGCTGATGCTCCTCCTCAAGTCGGCGTAGGAACTGAGCGAGCTGACTGGCCGCGTAGGCTAGATCAGGACGACAGGTGACAGCGGCGAAGAGTAGATAGCCTAGCTGCTGTTGATAGATCTGGAAACCGGTTCAAGTTAACAGTGCGGTGTTCGGTTTGTGGTCAGTCGGTAGTGAGCGGTAAGGTGTAGAGACTGCAGTAGGTGTGAGTTTGAAACGAGCAGCGAGTGTTGCTGCATATTTAGAAGCGGTGAGATGAATAGTTGTCG